TGCACATACTTTTTTTGATCATTGTATTGTTGATTATCATTCACGTCACATCGCTTNTTTTTGATCATTGTATTGTTGATTATCATTCACGTCACATCGCTTCGGAATAGAAACCAGCTTAATTTACACTATGTTGTGTATTGTGCTTAAATTATGGATTGTATTCATCATTTCGGTCCATATAAATAATTGTATGGCACCTACCTACCTATATATCGCAGTACTGCGAGCTGACAACCCTTACAAATATCCCAATTTAACCCTTACCTGTGTCAATTTACCCCGGACGCGGGGTAAATTGGGACGGCCATTATTTTACCGATTATTTCTTTAAAATTAATAATTAAAATAATGTAACGTTTTTTTATCACCTAGGTACGTTCAAGACTCAACTTATTTCTTTGGTTGAGCAGTGACTATTTAATTGGAACTGTTTTAAAATTCAATCTGAAGGTCGATTTTATCCCTATTTACCCCATTTTACGGTACTATACATTATGACACAGACCTAATTCTAAATATTCTTAAATATAATAAGCAGGTATAATAATATCCAGGTAGGCAGGCAGGCAGGTAAAATAATATAAGAGCGCGAAAACGAGTGATCAAATGTAAAACGTCAATAAACATTAAACAAGCGTAGTTTTGTTTTTGCTTATGATCAATAATTATTGATCAATGTAATGATTTATTCTAGCGATTTAAAAGTATAAAAATAGATTTTTGTTTAGATATAATATTTTATGAGTTTTAAAATCCATTAATTAAATATGTTAATATATTTTGCTAGTTTTTTGCAATATAATGTTTTGTTTCGAAGATTTAATGTGAATAGTTTAAAATATAAATATATTTTACCTATGGCAACTCCTTCAATTTATCAATGTAGCTTAGTCAAGCTAATTTCTTTTCATTTATGATTTTAATTACCCACCATTAAAATAAATACCCTTAAATTTTACAATAAGTATGTAAAAATGAAATGTTTTTTTGTATAGATATTTCATTAATGTTCTTGAGAGCACGAGTAGCTGGGCCGAAAATGGCCCATGTACTTTGAAATCTCCCATGTGCATAAATGTAATCGAGAAAATCTAATAAAACTACCTCCTGAAAATAAATATATGCTAATATATTTTTTTTAGATTTATAATAAAATGCAAACAGACACTTAGGTTTTTTTAAGATTGACGCGTAATAAAGTGAAATATTGAGATATGCACATGGGAATTTTTGCTGAGTATAGGTATTCAAAATAACTTTCATAATATAAGAAAACATCATTTTGGTCCAAAATGTCAGATAGATTTTAAATTTGCAACGACGATAAACTGCATATTCAAACGCAAGTCATGCTTGTTATCTCATACAACACGACCCGCGGATATGCACCAACAGATTATTATCTTATCTGCTGACAGGCGCTGGAGCAGGCGAGGTCGTGCGACTGTGAGCTTCTTTTTCTTTATATGATTGAGCATTTACTCGTGGCCTTTCCAGTTTCACAAGGACAGGTGGGCGAGCAAGGGATCAGCTAGAAGGGGCGGGATTTGCTAACGGCTACCCGAGCGCCTCCAAGGGCTCAAGAGTAGCTGCTTCGCGAATGAACCTACTACAGGATCGGAAGCGGCTGCAAGCTGCGATTCTTGGCTCGCAACGTGACCGTAATATACTTTGGCTTCCTACACTTGAGTACAGGAGAGTCGAGGCAAGTTTTAGCGGCGGGTGTACCAGCAACTTATACGTTATGTCACAATGAATGTAGTTCAGTTTGCGTTTCAATTATTTACTGTAAAATAATGATGGAGATACGGACGACCCTGCTGGTCTCTGGGATAGGCCCATGGATGTCACGACTTCATGGCATGGAATTGATGTCACGACTTCATGGCATGGAATTGATATGTATGTAGAATAGGGATCGCAGCGTATAAAGTAAAAGTTACACAGTTCCAAAATCTTATGTTAAAATAATAATTTCAAAATTGCCGCCTTGCATTTTTGAGCCATCTTCGCCATCTTCCTTTTCTCTCTCATTCCGCCTGTCATTCTCTTTTCCCTTTCTTTCAGTTCTCTCTCACTGACATCTTAACGCTTCATTCCACACTCTTTTCATAAGTTCCGTTCTTACCAATCCTACATGTACGTATGTCCCACCCTTCAAACCTAAACGATAGCTGATTTGCAACGGTTATGGGTCAAATTGCAGTACCATCCTGGATAGGCTCATAATGCAACATACCGCTGGGTATATTTTCAGATTTTTTGTTTCTAAAAGTAGCTTTATTTTTAATTTCGGACGCAATTAGCCTGATCTCAGTTCACGGAAAGATCGTGACACTCAGTTTTATCAGACCACGTCATTTATTCATTTATCAATGTTTTATCTGACTTGTGTATTCGATCTTATTTTTATAAGCACTATATATAATAATATTTTTATTTAAATCTGAATTATTTATTAAATTTACAATTATAGTTGGATGTAGTAATGGGTATTTTTTCTCTTCTTACATAACAGAACAATTATGTCGACAAAAATACTACTATTAACGCCAGGCCACTTTGGGAGCATTAGTTGTATTTATGAGCTTAATAATTTATTTAAAACTAACACGTATTTATTAAACATTGCAGTGGTTGGGATGACAAGTGCAGTCTTCTCAGACGAGAAGGCTAATCCTGCGTACTATACGAATATGTTTTATTTTTAAATTTTTTATTTCATAGATGGGTGAACGAGCTCACAGCTCACCTGGTATTAAGTGGTCACTTAAGCCCATAGACATCTACAACGTTAATGCCGCCACCCACCTTGAGATATAAGTTCTAAGGTCTCAAGTATAGTTACAACGGTTGCCCCACCCTTCAAACTGAAACGCAATACTGCTTCACGGCAGAAATAGGCAGGGTGGTGGTACCTACCCGTGCGGGCTCAAAAGATGCCCAATCGCGAGTAGTTACATATAATTTATAATTTTGTGCGTTTGATTTTTATTACACGATATTATTCCTTCACCGTGGCAGTCAATCGTGAACAATTTTGTTAAGTACGCATTTCATTAGAATAATGTGTACCCGCCTGCGGGATTCGAACATCGCTAGATACAAATGCACCGTGCGCCTTATCCTTTAGGCCACGACGACTTCGACTTCCTACTTCTACATGTATATCGCATGTATATTAATGAACAAGTCCGCGTCTTGCTTTCTACAGTTTTCATTATCGTTTTCATGTCAATAGACCGAATTTGAGGTCGGAATGAAATCGCGGGTTATGGTTAGGTCATGTTACCTCCCACCGCGTCTCCAAAACAAACCGATAGATACAAGACGTTTAACGATCGTTTCGTGTTGATAACGGTAAAATTTCCCAAATGTTGTTCCGGTGACAGAGTGACAGCTGTCAAAACTCAGATTACGCTCGTCCACTCGACAGTAAGAACGATAACAAAATATACATTTTTCCAAGAAAATAAAATGATAATATTTCGTCCAATATTTATAACCCGGTGGAATTTATATTAAAAAAAATATCTATACATATATATAGGTGCCGCGTGGCGCCTTACCTACAGTGTAGAACGCTGCATGGAAGTAGTTCCACGCAACTATGTAAGAGCACCCGGTTGACGGTGTAACGCGTTATGACGTGGCAGGCGAGCCAGCTGACGAGCTGTCTTACCGAGACGGCTGACGTGGAGTTGTCGTCGACCAGTCGGTCAGGCGCCCTAGGAGTTGCGCAGCGAGTCCGGTTGTAGTATTGACCGAGGAAAACCTCTACTCAAACCGGATTCTGACTCTGCGCGGAGATCAGGCAAAGTCGTGTGTGGGTAGGGCCCTAAAACATCCTAGGGTCCGCGGTCTGCTCCTAACATTATGCAGGCCGTCAAGTCTCACATACTCCGCGCGCCATACCTTGTATGAGGTTCAGCCACGTACACGTAAAAAAATATGGATTCCAATACATTGAAAAAAGTGAGATCGAAAAACTGTATAACATTTTACTAGTTTGATTCTGACCAGCCTTACTCGTGATTTCATCCACAAGTCCAACTTATGTAGTGGCTTAGAAATGCATATTTGTTAAACACAATATCGCACCTCCCGTCATCGGAGCAGAGTTCATCCACATTATTTGGAACCGCTGCGTTCGTCGACATAGGGTGTCCGATCCGCTAGACAACACACGGTTCCTAGTCCGGCGGTGCTCAACGTGTTAAGAACAAAAGGTGGAGCATGCCTGGTATGTTGGCTGACATGACAAGGTCGACACGGTCCTGCACTCGGGGCGAGCGACCGGGACACATGTTGCAACGAAATACGTGTACCTTGTCCAATCTTAGTAGATTAATGTAGTAAACAACAATGGCCGACAAGCAACCAAAGACAATGTAGTGTTGGGAAATCATAGAATGGCCAAATGAATAGTTCCCATTATGAAATATATCTCTCTTTAGCTCAGTAAGTAAATTATTATCTTAACCAAAAACGACAATACCATAAATCTGTTGATAAAAGTAAAAATGTTCGCTAAGTAATAAAATTATTATAAATTGCGTCATTACTGGTGGTAGGGCATTTTGGGATCCCACACGGATAGGAACTACCACCCTGCCCGTTTCTATCGCGAATCAGCTACACATTTCGGTTTGAAGGCTGATATAGTCGTTATACAATTGAAGTTTCAACCTAACTTTTGTTCCTAGTTTACACATGTTTATAATAAGGTTATTACCCTAACCTCACTTAGGATTATAACTAATTTGAGTCGGACATAACGAACTGACTCATGTGTTTTTTATTAGACTTATCCCTCATTACTCAAATTGGGACATTCACATTGTCATATCTATTGTCAATGGTAATCGTTTAACGTTAGGTCGGGCGAGATTTCATTGAGCAATTCGGAGCAGCCCTAAAATTGGGGCATTACTTCTAAAGGTATCTTCAGTTTGCACAGCCTTCGTCCGATAATACATGGTTTAACTTACCATTATAAGCACTAGTTGTTCATTCCCAGACAACTGGAGTGTTAAGGACTCTCATAACATTAAGTGTTTGTACGTTGCAGCTGAAGTACTTCCATTCCTTTGCCGAAGACACACAGCTTTATGTGATCACTGAAAAAAAAAATGTATACTCTGATATTATAACTTGCATCATACGTGACCGTCTTAACAATGATCTATATATTAATACGTGAAGCAAACGCTGTGTATTTACGAATATTGCGCAGACGGAGAAGTATGACATTTCCCACACTTATAGAGAATATGGAGGAGTGCAGAATGTTAATATTTTTTTAAATTATGCATAAAAAACACATTAACACACATTACATACACTGCCATGTATTTGACACACACACGCATATATACTCTTTTGTTTATTGTCAAACTTTTGTTATTGTTTAAAGTCAATGGTCAAATTGAGAATAGATCAATATTGTTTGTCTTTAATATTATTTGTCTATAGTATACTCTTGGCTAAATCTCTTATTATAGAAATGTAATAATCTTTGACAATAGAACTATCATAATGTTCAAACTTATAATTTCAATTATTTATAGTCGAATTTCGACTACTGGGGGACCATTAGTGGTAAGAAAAAACCTACACAGAGTGACGTGAGATCGATATCTGGATCGCTAGAATAGCAACACACATCTCCAAGTCAAAATGTACAATAGTAGTTCGTAGTGAATCCATTCAACACTAAACCCAACAAGTATTTCATTTATTGGTTTTGGTCACTTACCTCGTACATTCCAGCACTTCCATTCCTTGTATGTCAGCCACGTCGCTAACACCTTGCCGTAGACAGCAGCAGTGTAAACCGTCATCAACAGTCCAGCTGTACATAGTTACCCTCTGGTCGATCGATGTACTGAGTAGCAAGCCATTGCCCAACCATAAACCAGTTATCTGGGAGCTGTGAAACTGATCAGAGCTCCAACAATATTTGACGACCGCCGAGGGCAACTTATCTTGGATGTTTATCTCTATTGATGTCATATAGATGGTATTATCATCACCTGCCGTGGCTAGTAAAACTTCGTTTGTTGATATATTATAACAACTTATACTATTTATCCCGGATTTGTTCGTTTTTATTGAGAAAAACGACGCAGGGTTCTCTTTCAGCAGGTCAGAAGCTAGCCATATCGAGAACAGACCTCTTGTTGTGGCTGTCACCAAGAAGTCTCTGTCCAACAGCCGGAAACAAAGGGTTTTTAAAATACATGTTTCATGGTGACTAATTGTATTGATTAATGTTATTTTATTGATTAGTAATTCATATTTCAAAACTCGCAGACAAGCGTCGGAACATCCGGTAAAAATGAAGTAATCAGTATTCTTCAAAACTGCAATATCCATGATCCTTGTCTCTGGATCGCAATCTATTGTGCAATTCCGCCACGTCTGATTACCTTTCCTCTCTTTATCTGTACCCTTTATCATGTACTCAATCAAATCTTGGGTCTTAATTTCATTTTCTTTTATAGTACATTTTTTTATACATATTTGTGCACGGCCTCCAGCTGTAAAAATTAAACTATTGTTGTCATCTACAGGTTGCAATTTAAGGGTTCTGACATTTGACAGCTGTTTAAATGTTAAGACGTCTTTAAAATTGAGTTGATTGTCTGTGGTCGATATTCTTACAGTTGTGTCTTCTCCCCCTGATACGTAAATTGTTTTCGTTCCATCACTAACTAAGACTTTTAAGCAGTTTATGTTGTTAGAATGTGATCCGTTCACTAAATTCTTTGCCACAATTTTACTCAGTTGAAACTTCAATAGATGTATTTCAGAATTTTTCAAATAAATGAAATTAACAAATTGTTCGTAATCGTCATTGACTTTCTCTATGAAACGCACTGCGTCCCACGACCTGTGACCTCCTCCACATGTCACTTCAAGTATTTTGGAGTTGTCTGTCAGGTCATAAATCACAAAAAGTCTTTCTTGAAAACCACATATTAATGTTTCATCGGTATTCAAGAATTCCTCAACCCACGGAAATTCTAAGACCCTACTCCTCATAAATATAATTTCGTTGTAAATATCGATTTTGAAATATTTGATTGTCCCATCTCTTCCGGTTGACAAAAGTTCATTGCTGTTAAATTTAATTGATGTTGGACCATATCTTCCGTGTACTTTCTTAAAGCTTTTGATTGGATTACATTTTCCTTTAACATAAATATGGATACTACCACACCTGTCTCCTAAAGCAAATACATCATTTTTATTGTTTAAAGCTGTGGCCGTAAGCCATCTTTCTTTGCAAGGAGGCAAAATGAAATTGGCATAAACTTCTGTATTTTCCCCATTTGCAGCTAACGCTGTTATTGCACCATTTTCAGAACAAATAATTACATGTCTGTTGCCAGCCCATTGCATTGATAATATCTTTCCTAATTGCAATTTTGTGTCAATTATTTTTGTTAAGTGTCCATTCTTACAGTTTTCAACAAAGACATCAAGTTTTCCTTTCATATCGGCAACGGCAATAATTTGCTTGCATGATGATAAACTCAGCATTTTGTATGTGGACTCGTGACTTAATTCATAAACCTTAGATGATTTCTCGTTTGTGTTATGGTGCAACAAATTTTTATCATCCAACATTATTAAATTTCTTTTCGCAGTGAACATAACTTTTCTCTGAGTTCCAAAGTTTAAAATGTTGTGAACAATGCCATTATTAGTTGTTCGTGGATGCAGTATAACTGCACAATCACCTCCACCAGTCACCAGGTGATTCTTATCGGCATCTATTGACCATATACCAGAATACTGATGTGAATTATTCTTTTTTATTAGTTCTCCATTCAAATTCCAAAAGCATATAGCGGAATCTTCTCCTACTGATATAACTGTATTATTTGTGATGCAGTTTCTCATGACTCGTGCTGAATGCCCGTACAGTTCATATTTGCATGTTATTTCATGGTCCTTCCAATATTGTAGCATATGCGCATTTGCTGTTATGATATTTGTACTCCAAATCCTGACTGATCTGTCATCTGAAGTTGTTACTATTAAACCTTTATCTGTATCACACGAAATGGAGAATATGACACCCTGTAATAAAATAAAACAATTTTATCTGAGATATGTTTTTCTCAAGGTGGCATTTTTTTAATAGCATCTGTGCATCTTTTGCATTACTTTGATATCCAATGTACTAGTGTAGAATAATGCAACTATGTTATGGTAGGTGCCAAACTTTCGAGATACCTAGTTGTCATATAGTTTATTATACAAAATGGTCCATTTTATAAAGCAATAAAAATGTAACTGAATACAGTGAGCTGCCATTATTCTGTACATTTTGTCGCAAAGCAAATTATTATTATAATTGAAGATTAATTGCATAATAGATGAAATCTCCATTGTCATGTCTAAAAGAGGTTATGACTATTTAGTTTATAAAAACAAACTCAAAAACATAAGAGGAATAAGCTTTTTTTTGAAATAACTTTGGTGCAGAAATGTTGGCCATATTTAATTGGTTTATTGTATCAACAACTGATTGATAGTAAAAAAACTTGAGAGATACAAATCTCTGTTGAATTAGTTTGTAGCTATCATACCTATAAACCTTATAATTTTATAAACAAGCAGGTATGCATTTTAACGGAAGCACTGTGAATGTGTTAATGAAGAGTGGTATCAAACCTTGTGTCCTCTCAAATAATGTAGAGGTTCCTTAACAGTATTACTATGCACGATGACATCTGAGAACACAGTCCCAGCTAGGACCATAATTGCATCTTGCAGCATTACAATAAGTCCACTGTATAATATTGAGTTTTCTTTGCCTGCTTCTTGAGATATGAAGGACTGTGTTGATAAGTTCCATTTCTGAAATGAAAATGGAATAGAATTTCATAGAAAAAAAACAAACAAGTAAGTAGTTTGATCTTAAGTTAATTAAATTATGAATTATAGTATGAAACAGAGGAAACAACATGTATGCTGGTTTGGGTGAACAACTGTTATTAATTTAATTGAGACTTTGATCTCATGTTTAATAGTTGGATAGCAGCATTCAAAGTATAATGTCTATGAGTCAGTTCACAATTTGCTGTGACCCCTCTACCAAAGTCAAACAGGACTCCTTTACAGACCTCCTTTAACCTAGTTGGAATCAAGACTAATGAGTTTATTTGGAGTGCCTGGTGGCACAAAACAAAGGTTGATCACAGGGATCCCACTGTGAATCTGAAGCAGTCCAGATAGTGGGGTTTAAATTGTGTTTAACTCTCACAGATATCTCCATTATATTTAACTACTATTCAATCTAACAGGTTCTTCTTCTTCTTCTTCATCATTCCCTCACTGCTGATGATCGTGACCACATGTGATTTTCCTCTACAATGTTCAATCATGGGTGGCATGGACCACCACAGGTTAGATATATAGTAATATTAAAATATAGATGAATAACATCTTAATCATCTTTTTTCCCTTAGAGGCAGGTGAGCATACAGCCCACCTGAATGTGAGTGGTTACTGTCAATCATGCACGTCAGCAATGACGGGCGCAGAGCCAATCTGCTTCTTACCACTTAAAACTGTGACCATAAAAATTCTAAAATAATTGCAACATCATCAATATTATGACTAATTCTGCCTAGGTGGTAAGTTAGGTTAGTTAGATAAAAAAAGATAACATGATTATCATAAAAAGATTTTATCATTTCAAACAACTTAAGTTGTTGCAGTTTTTTAATGGTCAGACTGTAGCTTAAAGTTAACCAAAACACACTTCAATGAAAATGTCATTGAGCATGGCAATAACATTAGTGACCGTTTACTATTGAGCTGAATCAATAGCTCATCATAGATTGAAGCATGAGAAGTACAGTTGGTTTACCTGAGTAACATTATGAGCAGTTAATAAAATAACAATATCTTCTTTCAGCCAAACACCGGAATGAAGCCAATCATCGCATATTATAGGTTCGAAGTTTTTCTTAAATGTCTCCTCATAATGCGAGTGCGTAAAAGATAAAACTGTGAACTGTTTTCCGCCAAACACGAGTATTTTATTACCACAATTAGATACTACAAAACCATATATTTTTTGGCTTTTTAAACATTGAAACTTTGTAATTAATCTCGCCGAAGCTTTATCGAATACATTTATAGTGCTTCCAATACCTGGAATGATAAATTTTCGTCCTCTTTGTGAGTAGTGCAATTTGAAATATAATTCGAAATGTTAAATAATTTTTTTACCGGCAAGAACGTAGTTTTTGAAAATTTTAACAGCTGTAACATCTGTACGTATTAATAAAGACATGATTAATGATTTGTTTATTTAAGTTTGACAACTGAATTAAGAATTATTTTCAGAGTAGCTATTTCTTTTTGTTATTGAATTTGAAAAAACGTGTTCACGTCTTCACGAATCACATTTTTTATTGTCAAAATCGTCAATGTCAAAATTGACAAATGTTGGAGACAATCAAGATTTTTTTACCTACCAACCACATGATCTGGATAAGGGCAAATGCTATTACAAAACATTAATTTGGTTGTGTACATACTGTATGACGTGGATCAAAGTATACAACCTACGTAATGTTTTATCTGCAGAAGCCAGAAAAATAAATAAGCCAATTAAAAATACCTTAAGATTGGACATTGTAGATGTTCTAATTTATAAGGTGGTAGGACCTCTTGTGAGTCCGCGCGGGTAGTTACCACCGCCCTGCTTATTTCTGTGGTGAAGCAGTAATGCGTTTTGGTTTGAAGGGTGGGGCAGCCGTTGTAACTATACTTGAGACCTTAGAACTTATATCTCAAGGTGGGTGATGCATTTAAATTGTAGATGTCTATGGGCTCCAGTAACCACTTAACACCAGGTGGGCTGTGAGCTCGTCCACCCATTCGAGCAATAAAAAAAACCATGTGGATTGCACGAATTCGTGGTGTCTTTGGTTTTCAAGTGATTTTAATGTTTTTTTATTGGACGTATTGAACGAATGTGAACACTAATCTAGTGCAGAGTGATTACTGGAACCCATAGATGCAAAGGAACGCTGCCGTTTATCTTGAAAATTGTAACAGTGGTATTAGTGTGTATTTTGTCCCCGTACAGGTAGTATCACCAATCTACTTATTTCCATTGTATAGCAATCAAGGGTTCGGTTCGATGGTTTGGAGAGCCGAAAACAAGTAAAGTAATCGCGAATTCGACATCATGTCTCAATGAAGGAGTCAATTTCGCACATTTAGAAATTTATATTTACGGGCTCCGAAAGTCACTCAATAACAGGGTAGTCCAGAGTAACCAACACGATACAACAAAACTGTACGAAAAGAGAAATAAAAGAATTTTAAAAAGCCTTAATTTTTGTCTTAAATTCGTTTTAATTCGTTTTTTTTTAAAACCAACACAACTCAAGAATATTCGATCCGATAACATGAAGGAAGGGATGTACAATTAAAATGTCGATAAAATCAACTATAACAATTTATTCCAAAAACCAAAACAGATCATTAAGAATAAGTAGTGTTTATTTATTTTTTAAATTACTTTTGCGGTTTATCTCGAGTTGAAACTGAAGAATATTCAAACAGTAAATAGAATAAAAACACCGAAAAGACAGTAAACCATAAAAATAATTTGAACAATGTGAATATCGGCAGTATTTATTCAATCGCTCTCGTGTTGATTGAGCGGGTAATGCTCTGGATACTTCTTTAGATGTTCCTCCATTTGCTTCATTTGTTTTCTGCAAAAGAAGTGGATACTGTTTTATATTTATGAGCTGGCTGTTACTCGTATGTTCTCGTTTGAGATAAAAGAGTAAGACTTTGAACTTATTAAGTATTATGATGTATGTGAACTTATGAAGTATGATTTAGGTAACAGGTTACTAAATTTGTCGAATCAGTATACGTAGTTCGTTTGTCAACGCCAGAGGCCATCAAGAAGTTTTGTATTAAACAAAAAAATATATTATAGAAACAATTAAAAAAGTCGTTAGAGAAACTGCCTATTTATAGACACTACAAATATATTTTTTAAATAGATTTGCGCTGTCTTTGCTGAAAAGCTGTAATGTGAGCCCGTACGGATATGCACAAATAGCCTGTCTGTTTGTTCCGATTTGTAGAACGAAACGAGGTATCTCAGGGTTGCCTTGTTGGTGTTGTTGTGTCCATGGGCTCCGGTCATCACTTAACATAAGATGAGCCGTGAGCTACTTCGCTCGTCTAGACAGATGGAACTTTTTGTTTACTCATACATAACATCAATGGTGTAATTATTGTATTGATACTGACTGAAGCCTGGGTGGCATTTCATAGTAGACATCTTCTAGCATCTCTTTCCAGTTTGGTTTCTTTTTCTTTTCCGCTTCCTGCATGGTTCTAACCACTGTATCCCTTGCTTCCTTACTCCAGGCCTTCTCAGTCTCCGCGTCCCAGTAACCTGGACACCAAATAAACATGCTGATTTCTTCGAAAAAGCGACGCGATACGATAACCCTCTTTTCCAGGCTGCCTCGAATTATATCTCCGATTCAGCCAACGCTAAGCTGCCATTGCCCTAAGCATGTCCTATTGGTCCCCTCATGCCCAGAAATTTCACAAAGTGAGTACTAACAACAAACACAGGCTATACTGATGACGATTTGAATATTAAAACACCAAATTGCAGTAGGTAGCTGAAGAGTTTTGTGCAATCGGTATACAACTAAGTTATAATGGTGATTCCTTTCACAATGATGAAACAAGCTATAGGCAACAAATAATCTAATGTTATCATTATTACCAATCATGCAATATATAAAAACACATGCAATTAGTACATTAAAACAAAAATATAATTTAATGCAATTTGAATTATTGAATTAACTTTCTAAAGACCGGTTTCTTTGAAATTTTAATTTGAAATAAACATTTTTTTATTTCGATTTACCTTTATGTTCGAGATAAAGCTTGAACTTCTGCAAAGGACTCTCATCTTTGGTCCACTTTTGTATCTCCTCCACCGACCTGTACGCGCTGCTATCGTCAGACGTTGAATGATGCCCGACACTAAAATGTGACAAATAAATTTTATGTGTTGCAATTTTGACGGGATATACTGTAATTGGATTAACTGTAGTCTATAGTCTATTCGTCACAAAATCAAAATGGACGTAGTTCAAATTATCTGGTTTGATTATTGGTGACAATGAGCGAAAGTGTTTTACCGATAGGCCATAGCTTCAATGAGTACTGGCTTGTTGTTGGCTACGGTAAAGTCTCTAGCTCTCTTCACAGCATTGTGTACCGCAAGAGTGTCGGTCCCGTCGACTCTGAGCGTGTGGAGCCCCAGGGCTGGTCCCCGAGAAGCGATGCCGTCTCCGCGGTATTGTTCGCTTGTGGGTGTAGATATCGCGTAGCCGTTGTTTCTGCTGCAAGCGGAAGGTATAGTTGAGATTTGAATTAAACATATTTTATTGGTTTTGTTTTATGCACGGCTTGAAATGATTATGAGAGCCCACTGACATAACTACGTGAATACCGTCACTTCGGACTCATATGTTGGGACATCAGCCGATGACTTAATTGCGTTAAAATAATTTTGTGTAGATTTTTTTTATTGCCGGTGTAGGCAGACCGGCATACGGCCCACCTGGTGGTGAGTGGTTACTGTCATTCATGGACGTCAGCAATACCAAGGGCAGAGCCAAGCCGCTGCCTACCGTTTAAAGTAAGACTGGTAGTAGCGTCATGGTTGACCTGCTACCTATAAAAATCTAAAAAATCTAAAATATCCTACCCCCAGTTAAAATAATAAAACAGTACAGTAAAAAGAAAACAATGATTGCTAAAGAAATTTCAACAATTCCACGTATTTTACGACAAGCTGTAGTTTGGTAATAAGTCGTGGTATCGCTGTATCGCCAAGTTCCGTGTGTGTGGCCGTGCGAAAGGCCACGAGTAGGATGTCCATGAGTGATTTCTTCTTTTGGATCAGGACTACTTCTTGAAAAAATTCGGTGACAAGTTATTGAAATTGTAACGATACGTAGACGTTTTCACACAAGTGAGTCGACTATTATCAAAGGCGGCAATCTGACTTTTGGACAATGATTGGTAAATCAGAAAAACGAATTATTGACTTTGTATTCCATTGGCAGTCACAAAACTCTTCGGAACGACATCTTAGATAAATAACAGGTTAACTATTAACCTTTATTTAATGCAGGTTTTGAACCGTATTCTTTGAAGGAGACGATTATANCTTTGTATTCCATTGGCAGTCACAAAACTCTTCGGAACGACATCTTAGATAAATAACAGGTTAACTATTAACCTTTATTTAATGCAGGTTTTGAACCGTATTCTTTGAAGGAGACGATTATATTCAAATAAATCTGTATTGACATATCAATAAAAATTTTTTGTCCAAATGTACAGATTGCCGCCTTTGATAATAGACGACTCAAGTTTCAGAACATAGCGTAGGTACAGTCTCGAATGACTCGTATGATGAAATAATGACGTTTTCTAAAGACACCTATGATTAAATTTCGCAATACTGACCACAGCATAATAACAGGACAATCTAACGTAGCGGCAAAGTTGAAAGCCGCATGAGCATCGCCCTCCGAGGCAGCGCCGTCACCGAAGTAGCAGATCACGCAGCGGTCGTTATTCGGGACTCTTTTGTAGGCATAAGCGGCTCCAACCGCCTGGGGCATTTGTGTTCCTGATAAAATACGTTTCATGTACATACTGAGAAGAACTTCTTAGCAATCCATGGATTTAATAATTGCTAAACTAATGTCTTATCTAATACGTGAATAGTTAAGTTGTACCTAAAAGTGCACCTATCTTTACAAATCTGCTGTCAAATGATGCCGTTAGATTTTAAAGGCAAAATGAACTTCCCCTATGTACTCACAATACAATATACAGTGGACTATAATTATCGCTCAACGCTAAGTCAAGTACGTCTGTCGAACGAAACCACTTAGAACCACCACTATTTAGAATTTATTACCTAATGGACTAGATATTGTGACCATGTTGTGGTGCTTGCTTCCGTAATGGACCGGCATCTGTCTCCCTTTCCCGGGATCCTCGCAGTTTCCGTAACACTGGTTCACAAGTTCCGTCACAGTCATCCCTCGGTATAAAAACACTCCTACTTCTCTGTATTGACTGAAGACCAAATCTTTCGGTGAGAGTGCCGAGGCGCTGCCTATGTGGATGCCCTCCTCGCCGTAGTTGGTCATATAAAATGAAATGCGGCCTTGTCTGTGAAATAATCAATACAAATCATCATGTCAGCTATAAGATCCACCGCTGAAGATCTTTTCTATAAAATATCCATAGCGATGTGACGGGTTGAAGCGGCTTGCCTCCACCGCGGTTCTGAGGCCTTTGTTAATTGAGTGCAAAGTAATAATTTTTTTATTGCCGCTATGGGCAAAAGAGCATACGATCCACTAGATGGTAAGTTATCACCGGTACCCGTGGACTTCAATAATTCCGGAATGAACCAGATTCAATCGAGCAATCAAAATAACTATACTATACAGCTGGGTTTTGGCCAGTATCTAAAAATGTGTTTTATAAAACTAAAAGCGAATGAAATTACCTTTGTGATTCATATAGAATTTTATCCATATGGCTCAGTTGTACCATGGTTTTGTACATGTTAATCAGCGTAGCCTTATCCAAGTTCGGTTCTTCATTTTTGTCGATGATCTGTCCGTTATTATCCATAACTCGATAAATCGGAATTGGCTCGTAACTAGTTTCGTTGAAGAATTTCATTTCACTCACGTACGGTGCTCTTGCGCCAGGAAATTTTGCTATCTTACCACCGCCATTCTGTGCCGTTTCGGGCCTCGTACGCGTCGACAAAAGCTAAAATGGAATTGAGTCTTAAAAACACATGGTGGAATTCATGTAAATACAAATTTGTTGCGCCCTAATAATGAACTCACCCATTTCACGATATTTGTTATCGATCTTTTTCTCACATCACTACTTTTGACATCGATAGCCTGTTTTCAAAAATCCAATACAAAAGTTTACGATTGCACTGATTCTCGAAAATATTGTTGTTCATACAAAATTCAACTTTATGTTCATCTGGGTAGGGAACATTTTAACTTNATAAATACAAATTTGTTGCGCCCTAATAATGAACTCACCCATTTCACGATATTTGTTATCGATCTTTTTCTCACATCACTACTTTTGACATCGATAGCCTGTTTTCAAAAATCCAATACAAAAGTTTACGATTGCACTGATTCTCGAAAATATTGTTGTTCATACAAAATTCAACTTTATGTTCATCTGGGTAGGGAACATTTTAACTTGTAAATAAACTTTGTGATGAAATGTAAAACAACATGGTTATCAGGCAAAAAATACAGATTAAATCAAAATCATCAACATTTCTTATCGTTTTGTTGTCAAGGGCATGTTTTTATACTTAAAATACTGTTGTAATTCATTTTGTTAATAATTTTAAAATAACTCACCCTAGCAGCCCGTCGAAAAGCATTTAATTTGACAAAACTTGCTCCGGTCTTCAACGCCATCTTGAGACTGACTTAAAAGTAATAATGAAGCACAATCGCTGTTTTATTTAACATAACATTACCAATTATCAAGATAAGAAACTTATGTACGTGTTTTTTTTTTCAATTAATAACGTCATTGGATGTTTCGTACCCTTTTACCTACGTACGATAGCAATTAAAATTACAAAATGTCAAAAATATTAAAGTTTATTTTATTTCTACATGTTGATGATGGAGAACCATTATGGATATGTTTTGCTGATCATGCATCATTTATGACTGCATAACACCATTTGCGAGTCGTAAAAAAATCAATAAATATTCTTGTTTTTTATCAACCATTAATTAAGTTTATTTTTATAAATCCACAAGATATACCTTTTTTCTTATAAATCCGTATGGGTAGGTACCACCACTCTGCCTATTTCAGCCGTGAAGCAATAATGCGTTTCGGTTTGAAGAGTGGGACAGCCGTTGTAACTATGCTGAGACCTTAGAATTCATATCCGAAGGTGGATGGCGGCATTTACGTTAAAGATGTCTATGGGCTCTGGTAACCACTTCACACCAGGTGGGCCATGAGGTCATCCACCCATTTTTTTGCGTCGGTCTCCTCATTACTGAGGGTCGTGGTCATGGCCTTGAAACAGTTTGTTTTTTATAGTGCACCGCCATCTGCAGCTGAGTGCAGTCCACTCATCTAAGCAATAAAAAAAAAATTAACATCAAATCGGAAAATATAGAAACGTGCGTAATTACTGGTGGTATTTTATTTATTTCTTTATATATCGTGTACCAACATGATGTACACCAGCACAAAACATTACAAGCAGTACGTGAACACAAAAAGAAACGCTTCAGAGTTCTAAAAAAAAAATAACATTAAAACTTTATTACACATTACTACATTTACCACCAAATACATTATTACGCATCAGAAATAAGCTCATTGTGTATGATTAAGGTTGCAGACGTCTCGTCTAAAACTTTCGACAGTGCCAACAAGCTCCGACTACCGACTTGTCATCATGCAACCCCGTCGTCCTTACACCAGTCACGAGGCTCACGGTGGATTGGCAGAAACTGAGCGCCAGCCTTGCAGAAGCCTCCCAACAAATCCTCTCTTATAGCCTGGATTTCACCCCGTCCCCTCAGGACATCGTCGAATCTATAGACATCCTGACAAACCATCTGTCCACCACGATGGGCAATGCATCCCATCAAGTCAACGAGGAAGACTTCTTCCATCGCATCAGATTGTCCCCCGAGCCCAGGAATCTCCTAAAAGTTAGAAACGCATCAATCGGGGCTTATGATCGTCATCCCACCGAATCAAACCGGATTCGGATGTATCGTCTACAGTGGGATGTCAAATCTCGCGTAGACGAAGCCCGAAATACAAGGTAGGAAAGTTATTTAGAAAGACTCGCGCCCTCTTCCCAAAGGTATTGGCGACTAGCTAGGACACTCAAATCGGAAACTATAGTCATAGGAACAAGAACAGGATATAGTCACAGGAAACATATATATCACCAGTTTGCCCCTCAGGACATCCCCCGGCTCTCGATGATAATGAAAAGGTAGAGTCATTAACCGATGCACTGCTAGAGCAGTGTACCACCAATGCTTGATCTGCGGACCCCGAACACACCGTGACGGGGAAGTCGAGCGCAGAGCTTTCTTGCCACCCTCCGACGCGTTACGACCCATTACCTATACCGAAGTCAAAGAAGCAATCGGTAGCCACCAATTTAGGATAGTTATTCGGAAAGTGACATATCGATATCAACCCTACGAAAAGCACAGCCATGCTATTCAAAAGGGGTCGCCCTCCCAACATCATTGTAAGTATTAGCCTCTATATTTGTTGTCTCGCCACGAATTCGGCGCGGTAACTATTCCCGCCATTAAAATCCTTGGCCAGTCCATACCGTGGGCTTCGAAGGCTAAGTACCTAGGCGTCACCCTCAACAGCGGGATGACATTCAAGCCCCACATTAAGTCAGTACCGATCGACCGAACCGCGTTCCTACTCGGTCAACCCTACAGCATGATCTGCAAGCGAAGTAAATTGTCTCTTCATAACAAGGTGAAACTACAAAATTTGCATACGTTCCGTCATGACCTATGCAAGTGTAGTAGCCGCTGACGCGGCCCGTACGCACATTAACTCGCTCCAGGTCATCCAATCCCGTATCTACAGGATAGCTGTCTGAGCTCCGTGATACGCGAGGAATGATCTACACGACGATCTAAATCTAGAACTGATACGTAAATAAGTATCTAGAGAAACGTCAGAACGCTACTTTGAAAAAGCAGTTGTGGTGAATTTTAGTTTTTTCTTCTGCAGAAATGAATAACAATTGGCCGGATTGAGGTCCGTACTGTTGTTTAAGCACCATGAAAGCAGACGATCAATATTAGAATAAAATTTAGGTCAAGGTCAGATTAAATGATGGCTACACTACTTTGATGGTATGCATCTAGGGGCCTCCCAATATCCAATACCACCCCAAAAAGTAAAGTTATTAAATGGTAAGAGAGGGTGATAGGGCAGTAATATTAGAAGCTAGTGTGTCAGCTTTAGACACCCAGGTACGTAAAACAGCCGCTGAGGCTAAAAAGTTCTCTTGTGGCGACCGTGTACCGGAAGACATAGCGTAGGTAGATCTCCCACAAGAATAGACGACCTGGTGAATCTTGCAGTAATCCGCTGAATGCAGGCAGTGTAGGACTGGTTGCTGTGGCGAGGTTAGGGGAAGGCCCATGTTCAAGAGTGGATGTCTGTGGTCTGCTACGTACATATTTTGATCTGGAAATACTGATAGCAAGCAAATATCTAAAATAAACTAGATTAAAAGCTTTTGCATTGCAAATTCATTTTTGAAGTCTTGTGGATTTTTAAATGTCCTTAACCCGTAGGTATTAATACGATCAACCGTCAAATTGTTAGTTAAAAAAAGGTGTCATTAATTTGTGGTGTCATTTACGAATGGCAATGGCAACAGCATGGAGTTAATAAGTAAATAGTAACTCTATGGGCAACAGATTGCAGAGGCTACATTCCTGAGTCCTGAGTGCTTAAAATATTTTATATTGTCTATGGAGCTTACTTATCTAGTGACGATATCAGACAATATCAGTGTTATTTTAAATAAAACAAGTGCTTCCAAAATGCCTTATTGGTATTATGACAAAAAGGATTTGTTGAATACGCCTTCCTTCCGTGATGGGATAAACAACGATGCTGAGAATCGTTACAGAAAGGAAGGAGCGAGATTCATAATCGACACAGGATCTAAAATGGACTTAGGTTATAATACTGTTGCCACAGGGGTTGTTTATTTTCATCGTTTTTACATGTTTCATTCGTTCAGGACGTTTCCGAGGTACATAACCGCTTGCTGCTGTTTGTTTCTGGCGGGAAAAGTCGAAGAGACACCAAAGAAATGCAAAGATATAATTAAAGTTGCCAAGTCTTTGTTGACGGAACTAAAGTTTGCTAGTTTCGGTGAAAATCCTAAAGAGGAAGTAATGACACTCGAAAGAATTTTGCTGCAGACAATCAAGTTTGACTTTCAGGTCGAACATCCCTATGGGTATCTGCTTAAGTATGCTAAATGTTTGAAGGGCGACAAGACAAAACTNACACCAAAGAAATGCAAAGATATAATTAAAGTTGCCAAGTCTTTGTTGACGGAACTAAAGTTTGCTAGTTTCGGTGAAAATCCTAAAGAGGAAGTAATGACACTCGAAAGAATTTTGCTGCAGACAATCAAGTTTGACTTTCAGGTCGAACATCCCTATGGGTATCTGCTTAAGTATGCTAAATGTTTGAAGGGCGACAAGACAAAACTACAGAAGATGGTGCAAATGGCTTGGACATTTGTAAATGATAGGTAAGCGTATGATTACTATAGCTTAGAGCCATTTGACTATTATTAGAAGAGATATGATGCCTCTAAATTGAAACAATCCTTTGAATTCACATTTTCATGGGTTTTTTTACCACCTGACCTGCTCCTGCAGTGATAAATATAAAATGAATTAAATTAAATAAGAAGTTCAGTAATCGTACCTATAACACAGCGGATTGATTTTGTGTTCTAGCAGTATTCTCATATAAAGCACCCAAATAATCATATAATGCTTTAAATACGAATGATTCACATTTAATTATCTTACCATTTCTACACTTTTTAGTACACATATGGTAACATTCAAAAGCATTTGATAAATTAATAATTAAATTAATTACAATAAAATATGTAACATAAAGATTTTTTTCAAAAAAAAAAAAAACCAAATAGTGACCAAGTAACCGTTGTTCACAATGTAATAGAGTGTAATTTGTTTTTAATTATAAAATATAATATTAAGATTTATTTTGTATTAAGATTTCTGTTGCGTTTTTTATTAGCCTCACACTACGCGAGCATTGCTTGAATAACATTTGTATTCAATCTATCGAAGTTTTATGACACCCATTTTCAGAGCTTCATAAAAAGCATCTTTGCCAGAATAATTTGTTCTTGTTCAACTAAAGTTAACTCCTCTCATAGATGTCCCGTAGGATTCAAATCTGGAGTTTGACTTGGCAACTCTAAAATGTTGTAGTTTTGTATTTAAAAAAAATATTGATTTCCTTAGACTTGTGTTTGGGGTCATTATCTTGCTGGAATTGTCATATAGTGGGTGTGTGGTGTTTAGTGTATGTAAAATCCTTGGACCAAAAAAACCTGTATATTTTGAAAATATCAAAAAATATTATTTTGTTCTTGCAGTTTATGTACAACACTCTGTCTGCAATGGGAGCCTGAAGTGATAGCTGTAGCTCTCATGTTTCTAGCTGGGAAACTCAGTAAATTCGAGGTGGCAGACTGGAATGGACGGCAACCTAAACACAAAGTGTGGTGGGACATGTTTGTTGAGGATATCACTACAGAGCTATTGGAGGATATATGTCATCAGGTAAGTTGAGCTAAGGATTCAGTAAAATCTGAAAGTCAATTATGAACAGACATGTATTCAGTCTGAAAGCTAAAATATGTATTTGAGACCATGTGTGTTCATAAGTGTTTGGTAGATAGCAGTATGTTTATAATGTCAATGGAACTGAAATAATTAAGTGGCCAGCGTAAATTAATTTAAAAAACACAACACATGTTGGTTTAAAAGACATTAGTTAATCCAGTATGTTTTATTATATATTTTTTACTGCTTTGATGGCTGGACAAGCTCACAGCCTACCTATTTTTAGGAGGTTACCAGACCCCATAGATATGTATAACGTAAATGACACCACCCGCCTTGAGGTATGAGTTCTAAAGTCTCAGTATAGTTACAAAGGTTGCCCCACTCTTCAAACCGAAATGAATTACTGCTTCATGGCAGAAATAGACAGGGTTGTGGTACTACCCGTGCAGGCTCGCAAGACGTCCTATCACCAGTAATTACGCAAACTATTATTTTGCGAGCTTAATTTCTATTACAAGATATTATTCTTTCACTGTGGAAATCAATCGTAAATATTATTTCCAGGTATTAGATTTATATTCACCACAGACACAAGCGTCGGGGAACGACTCCCCTCCTTCTGTTCCTCAGCCTCCAAAAAACGAGAAGAAGCCACCCTCCGTTACACCGCCAGCTTCCGTATCACCTGTCGCCGTTACCACAGCCACTAAGCCGGTGGTCACGCCCATTAAGAACGGAGGGGAGGTTAAAATTGAACCCCCCAAAGTTGGTATCACCGAGCCTATTCGGTACACGTATCCGTTTACACCAATACCGCATTATCCTCCAGTGTATACGGCTCCGCCTCCTACAATCCCTCCTCCTCCCAGGCTCCCTTTGGTGCCTCCTCCTATGGTATACCCGGACCCACCCCCGGCACCGAACAGGTTCCCTCCCGTCAACGTCCCACCCCCGAACTATTTCACCCCCTTGCCAAACCGAGGACCTCCTCCAGGGCCACCCCCTCGGCCCTACTATCCGCCACCCTAGCACCTAAGTTATAGATACTATAATTTTTTACTAAAATATAATAATATAGACAGTATTGGTTGTTTTTTTTGTGGGACGAAGATGTGCATTTCATACGTGCTTTAAAATTGAAATATAAAACCTCATAGAGGAACGCAAAGAATGGTTTAGTTTTTTTGTGATCATCGTAAATACTGACTACAAACATAAGTAAATCCTATTTTAAAAAAGGTGACCTCACAGACTCAACCTGAAAGAATTTGCTAAGACTGGCCATTGCAAGAGCAGTGCTTTGCTGAATCTACTACCGGATCGTAATTGCGAAAATTCAGTGGGTTATGTTTACGGGTTAGGTTGCACGTCGAACTCTCAACAAATTGCGTAATATTCTTTCATACTGCGAACCATTTAACCGATATATAAATGTTGGGCCATTTATCTTTTGCGCTTTGACAGGCAGTCAAGTAGGCAGGGTGGTGGTACCTACCCGCGCGGACTCACAAGAGGTCCTACCACCAGTAAAAAAGAACGTCTGCAGGTAACCAAGAACCAGTCCCCGGAATCGTTAGTTAAACTCTAAACAACTTTCACATAACTTTAATTCCGAACACATTTTATAAACACAACACGGGTAAAAAAAATACATATTATAGGTACACATTCCATAAAAAAAAAACTAAGAAATACTGATATAAATTAATAATAATTAAAAATAACGTTTTAGTACGAAGCTAATCTCATACATCATAATAATATATAATTTGACTATAAACACTTGTGCGTAAATCGATTTATAATTAAGAGCTGCCGTTTTTTCGACTAGACAGTCACCGAAATTCATTTTAATAATTATATGTAATTCACGATACTTTATTATTAAACATTAATTAATATGCGTAGTTAATGTCTGTATAGAATTTCATTAAAGTTTATTAAAGACAATTGACGATAGGTACGCATTCGGTTATGCAAGATCTAATATTATATTGAATCAATATTAATGTTTGAACAATATTCAGTCGTGGGTAAATGAATTTAATTTATTGCATATATGGGACGAGCTCACAGTCCACCTGGTGTTAAGTGGTTACCGGAGCCCATAGACACCTACAACGTAAATGCCGCCACCCACCTTGAGATATGAGTTCTAAGGTCTCAACATAGTTACAACGGCTGCCCCACCCTTTAAACCGAAACGCATTACTGCTTCACGGCAGAAATAAGCGGGGTGGTGGTACCTAGCCGTGCGGACTCACAAGAGGTCCTACCACCAGTGAACTGTAATAAGTGGCATCTTGTTTGCGCCCTGCACTTGTTGCTGTGGCCCAGTTACACTAAATAATCGGTCAAAGGCAACAGTTGTAACAGAACATTTACAAATAGGATAAACTTTTCTTTGACAAACCGTCAGTCAACATACAAAAATTACTCCATACAGATCAATGATCCCAAAATGTATCATTTCTCTTGAGCTCTTGGAAGCATCGCTTAGCGCGTGGAGGAGCCGAATGCGTACAGTCGGTCGGTGTGGGCGGGGGGCGGTGAGCACCCGTGAGTACTCGTGAGCACGTCACGCACTTTAGTAGCAGAGGGCCCGGTCCACGCCTGGGACCGTCGAACTACGCGCGAAATAAACATTCAAATAACCTTATAGAAAAATGTTTTACAAATATTTAAGTAGTAAAAGTTTGTATAAAAATGCATTTCAGTTTGATAAAAATTCAAACGAATTCTTCTGACGTTTAGCTCTGACTCGCTTCACTTCAAATATTCATGTTGATTGAATTCATTAGTGACGACAGAATCGTAATAGCGATCTTAGTCTCAGACTTAAAACGATTTTCACATTCATGCACTACACATTGTTTATGTGAAACAATTATTTTTAATCACTAAAACAAGCTAAATAAGAAATACGACGCATGACGTCACACGTGGCTAGTCGTTACGTAATGGAACATGATCTATTTATTACTATTACTTGGTTTTGGCTCCGTGAGCCATCGTGATCCTGCCTGTCGTACACGAAGAATTGTTATGCCTATACAATGAATTCAATCAACCATTTATAAACATCAAAACTCATTAAAATAACATATAAATATTGTAGTAGCCTAAACATTATAAATGTGTACTTAAATTGTATATTTCGTATAAAAAATCTTATAAAAGGCACTCGATTCATCAGATCCCGAACGAATTTCAATAAGGCACATGATCTCACTTATGTTTTAACAAAATAACTAAAACGATAAATAAACACGTGGATTATAATATACTATCTCAACGAAGTGAAACTTCGGCCATGAAACTGCCCACTGTTTATAAATAATATAAGCGTATTGCTACTAAGGGAACTAAGAGTGTGATATGTTTATAATAAAAATAAAATGGCCTAACGAAAAATACCAAACAGTAAAGTTGATTAATATATGAAATACCACAGCGACGACACAGAAGTTTCACTTCGGTTAATTATTAGGGTTAAGCATATTGTGGTTGACAGTTGAAATTAATGTAGAAAAATTTTCAAAGATTTACAATACTTTATAGAATGTATGTAACAATATAGTAACACAATCTAATATATTGGTATCACGCATGTTGTTCCTTTACATCTGCTAGGATACTAATCATTCAACGAGATAAATACAAAATAATTTATTTTGAGGTGACGAATATCAATGAAGTTAGTAAAAAGAAATTGTTACGAGGCTACATTTATACAGATACGAATCGTTACACAGCGCGCCGAGTCTCTTCAGTCTATCACTATGGTTCACCGTGCTTAGTGCGAGTTATTTAACGTTCTCGATAGCGTAAAAGTTATCACAAATTTGTATGGAGCGTTTGCCTACGTTTGCCGCTAGGGGCGCTGTTCCAACTGCATACAAATTAGTTAACTTTAACGCTATCGAAAACGTTAAAAAACTCACACTGATTATTGCACGAGTTGTTTAGCGCTATGATGTGACACAAGTGTTCGCCACGCAAACGTTAATTGAACAAAGAAATCTCATCATGAATCAGATAACCTAGGGGTTTTTAAGTTCTTGCAGTATCCGCATCCCTTATTTTCCTGATCCGTCACTACTAGTATATTGTATTTACGATTTGAATTATAAAATGCGCCTTAAATAGAATTAAAAATTGAGTTAGGGACTTATTGTAAATTATTAGCGACTACTATATACATACATCACTAGACAAATGGTGGTATTTCTTGACAAAAGAAAATTATGATGATTTTTTCAATTGAGCACTTAACGATGGCAGTTGTTTGAACAAACATCAGACACATTTTAGTTTGACATTCAACGGTTACCATTTTCTTTACATTATGTTGATACAGACTGTGGCATTAATGTCGTTTGAAAAGAATATATTCCATTAAACTCGGATGCTATCAACAATACCAAAAGACTTAGAAAGATTGACTGTACTAGTGAACACACTTCAGGCCACATATTTACAAAACATTATCATACTAATCGGACAAGGTCCCAAGTGAGCACCGGTGAGCATGCGTATAAACGAACTTCCATTTAGCGTTCGTCGCGTTCATCTAAAATCTAAATGAGTCTAGAATGTTTCAGATATTGTAGCAGAACTTGGTGGAGGAACTTGTATTGATGAACGTTCTGTATGAGATTCGCTCTCTGCTGGTGCAGCATGCTTATTGTGCGGGGGATGTCCAGCTCCTGCGGACAGGGAGGGGAGTCATTCAGTACAATTATTAAACAGCATTTTGTTTTCCGAAGTCAAACTTCTTCATCAAAAGAGTGAGCAAGAATTTCAAATGAAGATCTTCGATTGTAAAATAAATCGGAAATAACTCTCTCTCTCTCTGAAATCATAGAAGTTTTACTTCTACAACACAACGATACGCTACAGCATACCGACTACCTCGACCTTTTCGTTCGACCAAAATGATAGTTACCATTTTATTTTTATTCAAGTACGTGTATCTGATTTTACATTTTTAGTACTTTTTTAATTTACTTTACTCTGTTGTTGTCAAACATTATACACACTCGTAACCGGAGATGTTCTGTGGTCCCTACAGTTCTCCGTAGTGGTATTTTGTTTTTCGCGATATTTTCTTTTTCTAGTTCATCTCTCATACTAAATCCTGTTCCGTTTCGAAACACGGTCTATGTGAAGGGTTCGTCAGCGCGACGGCGGTTACCTGGTTGTGGTCCAGTATGTCGGTGAGCAGGTCGGCAGCCAGCGCCGTGCCGCTGCGGCCGGCTCCCTCCCCGCAGCAGTACCACGCGGGGCAGGCGCCGCCCACCAGCGGACTGCCCTCCGCCTCCCCCGCCAGACGGAGGGCTTTGATCTCTGACAGGAAATCTAAGAAGTCGTGCAGGTGCTCGGGCACGTGCTGCGCCGTCCAGGCCCGGTAGTGCACGTGCCACAGGTGCCGGGGGGGCCGCCCGCCCGTGGCGCCCACCCGCACGCGAGCCGAGCCCCCCCACGCCGTGCGGGACCAGCGGCCGCACCACACCTCCAGCTGGGGGGAATAAGTAGGGCGTCATGTTAGGTGCCATTACACAGCGAGGGGTTTTTGTTTAAATGATCTCGATGAGACAAGTTAGTGAGAGTTGCGGTTACCTTCCCGTACTCCCTGGAGGAGTTCTCGGGCGGCAGACAGGCGTCGGGGTGGTCCAGCACGACCAGCAGCCGTGCCCCCACGCGCCACACCGCCTCCCACAGCGCCGGACCGCAGCCCGGGCTCAGGGCTCCCACCACGTAGAAACGTTGGCTGCTGCCCACTGTCATCTGTCGGATGTCATTCAAGTATTATCGAGAAATCAATGTAACTTTGAAATTACCTAAATGGGTGAATTGGCTCATGGCCCACCTGACTTTAAATGGGTGTCTGTAGACGTCACAATGAGACACGTGAGGTCGGAGTCTCAACAGTGTCACACGGCAGCCACACCGTTTCCACCGGGAACAAGGAGGCTACAGTACGCCCTGCCTATTGTCGGTCGCTCTGTGCTGATTAATACTCAGTAAGCGTTCTGTAGTCGGGTGGAGACACCGCGGGGTCCGGGGACTGCGCCGACGCACTGACCGTCACGTGCGACGCGTTGACGTAGCCCAGCGGGTTGCCGGGAGAGGGCTGCAGCTTGACCCTGTTGTCCTCGTAGGGCAGGGTCTCGGCTCGCGAGTTGAGACTGTAGTTGTTCGCCAGGAGGGCCGTGTCGCACTCCGCGCCGGCCTCCCGCCCCTTCGGGATCTGTTCGTATGCGAACGCGAGCTGCTCGTCGGACATTTTCCGTTCTAAGATTTGGCACTGCGAAGTCAAAATGGGTCATCGTCAATTGGTTATTTGCAGTTAAGCTTCAGTCGAATGTAAAAATTCCCGCGTGACGTATCTAACCGTCATCGAGGAGTCATAGAGAGCAATTGTCTATTTGGCACGGACCAACTGACGTCGACCATTCATTTATTGTTAGAATGAATCTTTAGGTTTTTTTTTTCAAAGTACTTATGTATTTGATAGTATTCAAGGTGAAAGCCGAAGCATTGGTTCTATAATATTTATTTTAAAAGTCAATAAGGCGAAGCTGTTAGTTTGTTAAATGAAGTCACTGGGGAGGTTTGACAGTTCTAGGCACTGACCATAGTTTCTTTGGTGATGCTGGGCGGCAAGGGCTGACACTTGGGCAGCCCCGTGGACCAGCGGTGCTTGTTGGCGGGGTGCGGCCCCTTGGCGCGGTCGCGGCCCAGCGTCGCGCTCTTCACGTCCGCGGCCTTGCTCGCCCGGCCCATGAACACTCCCCATCTCCTCCTCTTCTTCTCCTTGCTGCTGACGCTGCTGTTCTTCTCAGTATCCACAGTGCTGTAAGTCGAGTTCATGATGGAACTGGAGCCAGCACTGGCGTGCGAGAGTGCGGTGTCGTCTGGCCGCACGTCGGGCACGGATATCGAGGTGACGTTGTCGTTCGGTTTGCTGCTCGTGTTGTTGTTGGACAGCTTGTGCGTGGACAGACTTTGGTAGGGCGTCTCGTCGTAGGGCTGGTCGTGCTGGAGCGACAGCCGGTCCACCGACCCTGTGACGTTCTCCAATTCGTCGGCTTTTGTAAACGTGTCGATTTCTTTAGAGCCGCTCGTTTCTTTGACCCGACTTATGATCTGAGCGTTGACGTAGTGGCCGTCCGGGTTGTCCACGTTCACGGGTACGTAGTTGGGCACGTTGGGGGCGTTCTTGGACAAGTTCCCGTGGTTCAGCGTCGGACGTCTGCTGTTGCGTTCGTTAAGACGCGCTATCTCGTCCGTAGTGGTCAGACTCTGGGCCCTGTCCCGGACGACTTGGCCATCGCTCTGCCAGGGCAGGGGGACGTTTTCGTAGATCGGTTCCTGGGCGTTGCTGCTGACTTGCTGCTGAGGTAAAACTAAATGTCTCTGGTAGGGCAGTCTGTGCATCGGCATGGAGTACATGATGTTCCCTCTTTCGTCATAAACTTTTTGGATATTATCTGAAATGTGGTGCGGGTCCATGATGATGTGGGGTTTGGGGTCTAGCACCGACGTCAAGTTGTTGTAAGTGCCGTGGGCCCCGGGCAGCACCCTGCCGTAGTTCACGTGGGTGTTGTTCAGATACCCTAAATACTGCCTGTTTAACGCCGTTCTGGTGGACACCAGATCAGGACTAGAACCAGAAACGTGGGAGTTGATGTACCCCCGGTGGTAATTTAAGGCTTGACTTGCGGCCGCCAGGTCCGGAGTGGAATTGGAAGCCAAGCCGTTGGAAGGGTAAGGAGGGGGCGGTTTGTAAACGTTGACGAAATGTAATTGATTTAAATCCGTTTGCACGTTAGGATTGACTGCGAAGGGGTAGTTCGGGCCGACGAATTTCAAGCCGTAGGCATAGTCGTCAGTGGCAGCCACCCCCTGCGTGAGGGTGTGCCTGGTGACGTCAGGGTAGTGTACCCGGTGTATGTCGGGGTGCGATCCGTATATGAGCGGTTTGGCGGTGGCGGTGACTAGCTGCGTGTGCGCGTGGTGGTTTTGGTATCGGAGCTGTGCTTCGGCCCTTTGCTGGGCGTATTTTTGTTGAATGGCCGTCTCGTAGTCTGGAGCCGGCCGGTACGACGGTAAGAGCGCTCTGGAAATTGTAATATAACTGCCTTTCAGCATCTCTTTTGGATCAAACAAATAAGCATTTTTTAAAGTGAAACTTTTATTACATCGTCTCAAGCTTTTTCGTCTGTGTGTTGCATGTCGCGTGACGGTCGGCCGCGGAGTAGGGATAAAGTGAAAGGCGCTCGTCAGAGCAGCCAGGGCCAATATGGCGGCGCCTATAGTTCGCAGCAGCTGACCGTGTAGTGTATAGACTATTACTCATTTGTGCCAGTGCTCCACTCTATTTTATTTTTGTTTTTGTCAGTGTTTAATGTAAATGTTGTTTATCAGAGTTAAATGTGTATAATTTGAAAAAAAGTTTCACTTTTACCGTGGTTTCATAAAACCACACAATCCTTTTTTTAGATTTATTAACATATTTGAAACAAATAGATCATCGTGTAAATTTGTAGCGCAGTCAGGGCTTACAACCACGCGAAAGGTATTCATATCCCATACATCCCCCAAATTCTTACCTGTTCCTCTGCAGGGGGTGGGGCTGAGGATGGTTCTCTGCCAGCTCGAGGCAGGAGGTGGAGTGCGCTCGGTGTGCGTTCGTCAGCGGCTCCAGGCGGGACACGCTGCCCGCTTCTCGAACGTCCAACTCCTCGCGGCTCTCTGACAGACCGTGCTCCTTTATGAAGATGACGAGAATTTATTTTAATTTTTAACTAGTAGTCCCCCGGTAGTCTTTTTTTCTTACCTAGGCTGATAGCCTTGAGAGGCTATATCAGCGTCGCCTTAAGTAGTAGGTGAGCTCACGGGGCTCAAACATGATGACGTTGCTAACACGACTATTCTGAGACCTAAGAACTTATATCTCAAAGTAGGTAGCGGCATTTACGTTGTAGATGTCTATGGGCTCCGGTTACCACATAACAGCAGGTGGGCCGTGAGCTTGTCTACCGAAATAACCAATAAAAAAAAATTGTACTAGTAAAAAGAATTTCCGATAAATTGGATGTGTGAAGCAACGAAATAGTTTTTCCTACGATATGTATCGCTGACTCACCACGTCACAGCAAGATTCCGCCGAGGAAAATGCTTTCACCGCACGAACGTCGTGTTCACACCAGAACGCGGTAACGACTGAATCGCATTTATTGATGTAAAGACGCAATCGTTAATCGTGAAAGGATTTTTATAAATTGGGAAAGGGTTATTATTTTGTATCTATTATGTTATAGAAATCGTCTCCATATCGACTAGAGTACTAGAGGGAACTGGCTCTCGCCCCCCCCCCCTCCATCTGACGGCCGGAGTTCCACAAGGCTCCGCGCTCTCCCCGTTATTATTTAGTTAGTTTTAAAATACCAATTCGAGCAGCCCACTCCCTAATAGGCGCGTTAAGACCTCCGCCATTCGCCCTATCACTCTTTTTGGTCAGCCCATACCGTGGGCCTCGAGGGTCAAATATCTAGGCGTCACCCGCGACAGAGGGATGACATTCCGTCCCCACATTAAAACGGTACGCGACCGTGCCGCCTTCATACTAGGACGCCACTATTCAATGATTTGCAAGCGAAGTAAATTCTCCCTTCGCACCGATTCTGCGGACCGAATGGTAAACAGTCGACGTCGCCCTAAGCACGTCATTGCGGATCCTCTCGATCCATTAACGGTACTTTTAGGTATCTCAAGCACCGGTCATCGTTCTCGCCGAACCAGTCGCTTGCGACGAAGGGCTCGGTGAGTAAATTGACCCATAGACACAGCCCACTGAGTTTCTCGCCGGATCTTTTCAGTGGGTCGCGTTTCCGATCCTGTGGTAGATTCTGCGAAGCACTGCTCTTGCTAGGGCCAGTGTTAACAACACCTCCGGTTTGAGTTCACCTATATGCTAGGGTAACGCTGATATAGCCACTCAAGGCTATCAGAATATGTTGATGCACGGACATCGACAATCGCGCGGCGCAGGCGCAGGGAGGAGGACAGCGGCGCGGGGTCGCGGTTTTACACCTTCGACACTTGTTTTACTCTTTTTATAAATTTACCAATCAATATTACATCTATCGTATTATTACAGTCCACTCTTTTATTTCATATCACCGGTCTACCCCAGAGCAGTCGAAAACAGTATAGGTATGAAAAAAAATGTGTGTGTGTGCAAAAGTCACACACGGTAGAAGAGAAACTTATAAAATATAAAAATAATCGAAAGAGTCAACCACTCCGCAGTGCAATGGAACCACCTGCATGATCACGGTATCCCGGTATCCCGACGCCAGGTAGATATGATTTAGCAAGAGAAATACAAGAACGTCTATCAACTGTGTAACATCTCGTCACCGCGATTCAGGAATTGTGGAATTTACATGCAACGTCAGCTGTTGATAACAAACTAAATAGAAATAAAATAAACATGGCGCGTAACGGAAGAAATTAAGATGGCGCGTAACCGAAAAACGTTACATACGTTTTTTCCTCCCTACGTCGATGAAGAAGTTTCACTTCAAAAAAAAGAGTAACAGAAACGTTTCGACGCTTGAAAGGCAAACGTGACTAAGCGACAATAACTGCTTTGTACATAAATGATAGGCAATAAGCATATTCGATGCGCAAAAAAATATATTTCTAGGTCTATTAAAATCATTTTAATCCTACAGCTAGATTCGTTAAAATATAATTATTTTCAGATATTTCAACTTTTAATTAGTCTACTGTAAAGTTTACGCATTAGTCACGTTTGCCTTTCAAGCGTCGGTTTGAATATTAAACCGATTTACCTGGAAATGAATGCGGTGGTCGGGTCGCGGCGGCTTGTGGTCGCTGAGCGCGGCGCGGTGCTGCATGTAGAAGGTGTGCTGCAGCACGCACATGCGCCACACGTACTTCCCGTCCTCGGGGCTGGCGAGGGTGAAGGTCGCGCTCTCCGTCTGCCGCTGGCACTCGATGCTGAACGTCCGCTTGTGGTTGATCACGTTGGTTATGTCCATCCACCTGGAGAATACGACTGTATGTGGAGAATCTCCGCTTCTACTCTAACTCCAAGAACAAAAGCCCGTTTTATCATTTTATCTTCTTCTTCTTCTTATTAGCCCACAGACGTCCACTGCGGGACATAGACCTCCCCCAAGCCTCGCCAAAAAGACCGGTCTTGCACTGCCCTCATCCAGCGGATCCCCACAAACCTCAATAGATCGTCGGTCCATCTTGAGGGAGGCCTACCCACGTTACGTCTTCCGGTACACGGTCGCCACTCAAGAACTTTTGATAGATAAAACGAATGGAAGTTCGATTTATCTATCAAAGATTAAAAGAAGTATGCAGAAAAGAAAACTGTCCTTTTTTCCTTTCGTTTTATCGTCTAAGTTCTAGATTAAATACCTTAATCATTTGAAAGTAGTCTTTAGACATTTGTAGAGTGACAAGGGAGAAAAATAAATAAATAATGATTGAAGAGAAATATCCCAAGTACTAATAATATCGGGGGGAGAAAGGCTATGTGGTTTAAGCGACATTTCGGTTAATACGTGACCTTTATCTTAGTAATTGAAGGTTATATTATGTGGTATAAGTATCAAACACTTCGATGGTTTTAATTGAACTTTAATTAAACTTATTCCATTCAAATAGCTGAAAAAGTTTTTTTGTCGTAATGCATATTTTTTCAAAATCTTAAACTTTAAATGGCTCTCCAGCAGGACCTTAACAAAGTTGCAAAAATGTCGCTTAAACCAAATAGCCTTTCACCCGCCGATATGATTTGAAAAGTTTTTGTTTAAATATGTGAAAATTACAATTGATTATTTTACTAGTTATAGACAGCCCTATTTATGGAGTAGAGTATATATTATTGAGAACAGGGGGAGCAGGGAAAAGCCTCCTGCCTATTTTTTTTAATATTGTTGTAGGGTTGTTCTATACATTTTAAAATTTTAAGCAACTTAAGAAGATATTACCTGTAAAAATGAGGTGTATCAGAATTATCGACCAGCACAGTGATACCGGTCAAAGATATGGCAACGGTGACCTCCTTCTGTCCAAGTGGATCCTTCGCTGTGTACAACTCTTGGCCGTAGCCCCGTAGCTGTTGGCACGTCGTGATGAACCCCTCTTCGGCTTGAGCCTGGAGTAGATGTAACTTATATGGGTTTGTGAAAACAAAAAAACCATAGGATCTATGTGGTCTTAGTTATGTTTCTATTTCTCCACACTTCTCTCAGCCCGTCCATCGCCGAGCTCGTGACAGCTAGGCGCCTTTAAATTTCATTCATTCATCCTCACATTATTTGAGATTAAAGAAAACCCTATCTTTGTCTAGATTTGTAATGGCCCAAGTTCTATAATATTTACGTAAAGGAAATTGGTGATTTATACGACTTTTAAGATATCTTTAGCTTTCTATAACGTTTTTTTTTTGGTCAGGAGGAAATCGCCGGCGGAGCCCTCCACTGGGATAGAGGGCGGGGCATGTCGGAGTCGAACTGACTAAAACCTCCTGTCGCTCAACAACCAACGTTCAAACCTCGCATGAGACAGAACTTATGAAAAGGCAAAGGGGGGAAAGTGAAGCGTTTAGTGCGGAGCACATCTCTTCCATCACCCTCCCCCTCGGGACACCGGACCGGCAGTCGTCGGCGCCACGACCACCAGTCCTCTCGGTTCGCAGGCTATCCGAAGCCCGCCTAGATGGCGCCGGTTAGAGTGAGTAGCCTATAGCGAAAGGTATTCTGAATTTTTTTTTACCTCTAAGGTGTGTTGCGACAGGTAATTGTGGCGTTCCATAAAACATTCATCATACATAGCTTTTTCTTCATTTAAAATAATAACAGCAAATAATAACAATTATATAATAATACATAACAATAACAAATACATAATAATTTTTTACTGGTGGTAGGACCTCTTGTGAGTCCACACGGGTAGGTACCACCACCCTGCCTATTTCAGCCGTGAAGCATTAATGCGTTTCGGTTTGAAGGGTGGGGCAGCCGTTAACTATACTGAGACCTTAGAGCTCATATCTCAAGGTGGATGGCGGCATTTACTTTAACGCCAGGTGGGATATGAGCTCGTCCACACAACTACGCAATAAAAAAAATTAAGTATTAATAACAATTGCAACATGGGACCTACATAATATATTCTGATTCTAAACAATCACGATTTTCTTCATTATCAACTAGTCTTATGACCCGACCCTTATGATGCCTGTCTACCCGAAAAAAATATTCAGAATTATAAAACATATACAGTTTGAATTTTATGAACAAAAAATCTGAAATTGTATAGGTATCTTCACTAAAACCAGGTGGGCCCTGCTTATCTATGCAGTATTACAGTCATTAAAAACTGTGTCACATCATAATGTGTTATCAATACGTTAAAATAACACCACTGATAGCAGTCTGTTTGTTCTAATTTAACCAAATTTAAAATTTCGTACGAATTAGGAGTGCAAGTGTGGGTTTTATTTTGATGACGCCATAAATAGCTTGAAATATTTTTTAGATTTATTTTAGATACTATACTGAGATCTTAGAACTTATATATCGCGATGGGTGGCGCATTTACGTTGTAGATATCTATGGGATCCGGTAACCACTTAACACCAGGTGGGCTGTGAGCTCGTCCATCTATCTAAGCAATAAAAAAAGTTTATTTTTTATTGTATGCAGTAACGATAGGTATCATCCCCTATGATTAGGTATCATCATACTGTTTATTTCTGCAGTTGCGGTTCGCTTCAAAGGATGGTACATCTGTTATATAGAAAGCAATTGAGACTAAGAGTTCAGGTGTCGAGGCTGATGGTGATACTTCCATTGTGATACTTATGGTTTCCGCTAAACACATAACATAAGGTGGGCTGTGAGCTCATTCAGCCTCATGCGGCTCGTTGGGCTCTGGTCGTCACATAATACGTCACGTCTATACGTATAATACGTCACATACAACATGGCACAGTTCTACCTATCTTAGTGAATTATATGTCTGGCCTGTTAAGTGCGGTGATTCTAAAAATATACAAAAATAAAAAATGAATGCCAATCCAACTTACAGAATTCAAGACAGCTATATAAGACTGTTAAATTTGAATAAATAACGGTACACATACTGTGGAATGTCTGAAGTTAAAATACTTGTGAAGACAAAAAAAGGTTTATCATTATGTATTCTGCCTGTGTGTTCAAATAATATTGTGCCTGCTTATTTAGCTTATCATGAGCAAATAACGTTCTGGGGTTGGAGGTAGACTGTGGTTGTAAATTTATATTTTTTTATTTACTTAGTTCATTTTATATTTTTTAATAGTTCATTTTATACTTTATGTTATGTATCTCTCAATTGAATTGAACACTTGAATTCATATTGTGGTGTTTATAAACTCCTATAGCCCTTTGACATCAAGAGCCTAAGAGTTTATCAGGTTTCCAGCTTGTCTCAAATAAAAGAAGGACTTTTAAGGTTGTTTAATATTTAATGGTTGTGTACTTTTACTATTCAATTTTTAGTGGCTTGGCTCTGCCCTTATCATTGCCAACGTTCATGACCGACGGTAACTTCTCCCCAAAAGGTGGGCCCTGTGCCTACAAGGGCAGTAAAAAAAAACTTCAGACACAGAGAAGTTGCATTATTATAAATGATCCTAACAGATAATGGTGTGTGAAAATGCTAATACAGCACGCTCACTATTCATCTACATTTATTTTTAAAGTACGAAATAATGTACAAATTATCACAGGTGATCATGTGTTAAACACATGCATTAATTGCGTAATGATAAAAAGTTTTTGATAAGATTTTTTGGTAATACTGCCATTTGAATTTCGGAATAAAACACTTTATTTTTTCTTTTATTACTATTTGCCTCTTTACCAATTATAGTTTGTAATCAAACTTTCCAGGCTTTGCCTAATTTGAGACATGAGGTCAGAGTCACATTTGAATATAGAGGCAAACATGTTTTCTAATAAAAATTCCATTAATTTATTTTCATATTCAGCTAATCATTTTAGTCTTACTTAGTTATTTCTTGCAACAGCATGGTTGTGCAGGATCCATAATTTTTCAAAATGACAAGAACTACACTTGTGCACTGAGTTTTGTACGATTGTTGAATATACAGACATATTTTTCATTATTTTTTACTATAATTTGAATGAAATATTAATTTCAAGAGATAATAATTCTTATTTTCACTGTGCACCCATTAAAGTTGATTAGTGACTGAATAAGAATTATTTGATATAGCAGTAGTATGTAGTTTATTTCTAAACTAGATTCTAAATGTGTCTGTGATCACAAATAGTGTGAGTCACAACTTAAAAAATATTAAAATAGAAAAGTAACATTCAATCTTTCTGTGCTGTGATATGACAAATTATAATTATATACATTTATACTATAAATTCTTGATTATCTCAAGTTTACATCATATGCTTTCACTTTCACAATTAAATTTCAGGGTAACTTATTTCATGAAGTTGAGGACAAATAAATATGTACTGGTCTATAAGAGAGCTCTGTAAATTTTACTAACTCTAAAAATAAATTGAACTGTTTGATTTTAAAAATGATCTGATATTAGTTAAAATACTGTTGAAATGTTTTTCAGTTTTAAATGAACTCCTTAATTGCATTAACAAGGGATAGTACTTGTAACTATTATCATCATTGCACTTACTTGGGACATATTATGTAGGGCTATATGTTGTTGAATTACAGCTTCTGTTAGCCACTCTAACCTCCCCGTCTCAGCTAGAGTGCTGCCGTCAATAATCTGTCCTCCATCGACAATTTGCTTTGGAAATGTTAACAGATTCTTTAAATACTCCACTGTATGCCTCTCTCTATCATGATTGCCATACTCAGCTTGTCTACTATACGATGCTAATATCACGGCTTGCTGACAGTCGCAGATCAAACGTCCTTCAATCAGATCATTTTTCAACTGTAAAAAATAGTGGTACCGAGTAACTTCATCTGTGATTAAATTGGTCCCATTGATCACATAGTACATGACGCGTAGGTATAGTTGGTGGGAGGACGCATGTTTCTCTAGCTGACGTTTGAGCGGCCTGTCTAGCTGTACCCATCGAGCCTGCTGATTCCTGTTGACATACCGAAGCCCAAAAAATTCAGGCTGGTTTATCGCCTGTCGCTGACACACGTTATCCAAGCACTCCTGTCCAGAGCTGTCCACGGACAGCGTACAGTCCGCCACACCTCCATCTAGAAGTTCGACGCTGATCACGAATAAACTCTTCGAAGCGACGTTGTATTGCCGAGTTTTCTTCAACTTCAACTTAAAAGGCATCTTCCTCGCTTATCCAGCGCCGATTTGCAATAACATCACATAGGGAATAAACGTTAGATTACATTTATGGTGAAAGAATGTAGAAAACGTATATATGCATCCGTTACGCGCGCCACATATTTTAATATATCGCCAATTACATTTGTATATGTTTTACGATTTTTATTTTATACAGAGAGTTGCAAGGAGGGTAACGTGTTAGTTTAAAGTATTTACAATAATTTTTGTCGGGAAAACAAATAAAAACGTAAACGAAAATAAAATCCACATTCACAACATTGCGGCCATCGCATTTTAATGACACAATCTGTGTTGCCCGTAATCTCGCACGAATGGCTACTAATTAACAATATTAATTTGCAGTATTTGGAAGTCGCCGTGGTTTAAAGGATAAGATGTCCGGTGCATTCGAGTGATGTGATTGCACCAGTGTTTGCGAATGCGAATTTCGTAGGCAGGTACTATTGTTTAAAAAATACGAACAATGTATTAACAAATGTCCATCCTGTGATCTCGCTCTGGTAGATACCAAAACCCTGCCTATTTCTTTCGTAAATTAGTAATGCTATTCTAAAGATATGTCTCAAAGTGGGTGGCGTTTACGTTGTTGATTTCTATGAGCTCTGGTAACCACTTAACACCAGCAAGTCAAATCATTTTTTTTATATATAAATATATTTTAAATTTTATTATTATTTGCACCCTTGGTATCGATAGATCTTTACCAGCGCAGTAGTAATTTTTCAATGCTCTTTTTGCAGAAGCCAGGGGGCGGGAACCAACAAACTCTTCAAGACTTTTGTACTAGCTCTCAGATATTGAATTTTTTCCCTGCCTTGAAGTTGCTCAAGCTTTGGAAAAGTAGAAGCCTGTTGGGACAAGGTCTGGTGAGTAGGGTGGATGACGCAAAACTTCCAAACCTAGCTATAAGTATGTTGTGTCGTATGAAATCCAACGCTGTCGTTAATGCGGCATTACTGCAGCGACGGAACTCTTATTTTTATCCATATTGATGTCCATTGATATCCATGTTGTCCATATTGATAAATAATATACAAATGTAGAGAAAAAAAACTAATCCATACAAATAGGTTTTGAAAATAGAATTCATATTTTTAAAATAAAATTTCATACATTACGTTTCAAGTACCAAAACCTCAACTTCATAGGTAAAAATCGATTATTTTTATTGTCCATGTAGATAGAAAACTTGATAATAAGTAGTCACTCGTCACTCATGAACATCACCAATGCCAGAAGTACAGCCAATCTGCTGCCTATTGCTAAATGTTTTGTTATACTGATTGCTATAACAAGAGTCACAAAACTTTGTAAGTTATATCAAAATGAAAGGATTACAATAAATAAGACATGTCTCCCCAAAGAACCAATTTATTTACAGCCAGTACAAAAAATATTTGATTTTGACATGATTCCAAGTTTCTAATTTTATCCCGTAACCAACTAGCAAATATTTAACTATCCATCTAAATAAACATTCTTAAATAACGGTTGTTTTTGTAAAGCTATGAAATGTTTACGACAAGTTTTATGAACCGATACAGTCCTCCAAAATACTATACTTTTATATTTCGTGAGTATTACAAATCCGTCAAGGGCCTCTGTGTTGCCACATTAAAAATGCCGACTTGGTCGGAAGTGTAATTTAAGCAGTATTGTATATTCCAAATATGTCTTGCATCTTCTTTGTTAGACTTCAAAATCGATACTGATATTTACAATAATACTATTTGCTCTATGCATTAGACCGCTTTTTATCCTCTATTTGAAGCCAATCTTTAGGTTCTTTTAGGATTTTCAACAGTTTTTCTTCTTCAGAGTTCGGTTGGACTTGGTGCATATATTCCCATTTCTAAAAATATAAAACAGATTATTTTTACATTTTACTTAATAACTTCAAATGAGTAATTGCCTATTTGTTTATCTAAATAAATACATTTTGTGCTTCTCGGCAATGGCTTCAGGTATTTGGATAAATCTTAGATTGCAATACATGGCACCTTCAAACGTTATGCGACAGCATTACAACTTTACCTATAATAATACTTTTATGTTTAATGTTACGTTTTTTGAGAGATGTCTTAAACATCATAATGATAATTTGAAAGTAAAATGTTAGTGAAGTTCGGCCGTATGTGTACATTTATTAAATGTTCTAATTTACGACATTCATAAATATACGTCCTCGCGATAGGGGCTCAGAGATTGTCGGAGATTGTTGTAGGTCAAGAGGAAGACGCCTACACGTTATGGGTGGTAGGGAGGGTATGTCAGAGTTAGACAAATTAAACCCCCAGTCGCACAACCCACATTCGAGCCATACTGAGTCGAGAAGTGCGGTCATTCATCAATCGGTTGCTCTTTCGTAAGATACGTGTGGAGCAGTTTACACGTAGTCTTTTGACGGAGAGGACCCGAAACACTTTGGGTGCTAGGATTTAGTAATCCTTAGTTTCATTATAATCTTTAATTACCTTTTCAGCAAAGTTGCTAAAATGTACTGAACTGTTTGGAAGAGGTCGAGAAGCAATATCTAACGATTTTTCAACACTCATGCCCTTACAGACATTGAACTATTTATAATTCATCATTAATATATGTTCATCCCTAAGAACTAAATTTGAAAAATAAAAATATTCATATGTAAGTATGTAATTCTACCAATATAAAAGTTCTGAATCACGGGTGTTATCAGCACACGGAAAAACGACCAGTTTAGCAGTTCAGACTTCTGTTGCACAAATATTACTATTCGAAATACTCACAGCGTTAAGCGGAAGCGACATCAGTATTGATTCGTATCTAGCTTCAGGAGTGTGCAGCCCAAACTTTGTTCCTCTGTCGTATATGAGATTGAACTCCACATATCTTCCTCGTCTGAGCAACTGCCATTGACGCTCGTGGTAGCCGTAGGCGTCGTCTTTGTGCTTCTTAACTGGTATGAAGAATAGTATATTATATTTTCTATTTTCACATAATAATATATTTTATTCATAAAGTTTGATATTTGTTAATTCAACAGGATATTTCAAAAAGATCAATGAAATCTTGCACCTGACTTTAAAAAAAACCTCAAGATTAGTTTTTGGGGTTCAACTCAAGTCGGCGATTAGTTTTTCTATATAATACTGACCAGGCTACTCCGCATCTATACCAGCAAGTTCGTCTAGTTTCAGAAGTGTGGCGGGTAGCCATCATACAAACAAGATAATTGACAGATGCCTGAATCTCGCTTACAACATTTTCAACATAAGCGTACATATATACAAGTTCCGAACAACAACATACGGACCGTCGGTCTACCGAGCAATATCACCCGCTCGGTGGAAGGTCTTCCCTTTGTCTTATACCTACAAGAAGTGGTTTTTTTTTAAATATACTGTGATAGATGGTTGATGACAACTTGTTAAGTAGTATAGTTAAGATCGAAGTCTTCATTTATAAAATAAATACACATTCCATAGTCGGTGTCTGATCTACATTTTCTAGTTAGGTTACATGCCCTAGATGAGTCTGGATGTATATATCGATCGAGACTATATTAAGTAGAAGTAGACTCTGATTAAAATGGCTTCAAGTAAGCCGGAACATATTTGGCTGAAATATGAATACAGCGTGCTTAGGTCTCCCAAGCGAACTCTAAGCTCTCACCTAGAGGCACGTAGCTGGGTATGACTGCTTCAGCGCAGGAGGTGACGAAGGCGAAGGCAGCTTGCTGGTTGGGAGTGTCCAGGTCATCAAAGAATATCCCTCCGACCCCTCGCCTTTCGCCGCGGTGGGGAATGTAGAAGTAATCATCGCACCATTTCTTGAATCTGAAGATTATTTAAATATGTTACAGGAGTTAATAAAATATAAATAAAGATTTACATTAAAGTAACACTTACTTCATCCAGACTTTACTTGCTTTTATAAAAAAAAATGTATTTTTTTTAAATTATGACTAGTATACTAGGTAACTGCAAATCCGCACCAGATTTGACAAATAATTAAATATCCTGAACTAATTAAAGCAAAAATTTGTGGAAGTTAAATAATGGTGTTTATAAAAATGAAACTAAAGGAATACCAAACAATTATTTTTTTAGCATCATCGAGTGGGAATTGGAGCCACCGTTGAGTGAAGAAATGGCTGATCTTACTACCTAGCATAATACGATGAATCGTGATCGTCACACGCGTGCTTCAAGGTTAGATGGAAGTGAAGAGCGTCGTCCTCGTTCAGATAATACGGGGTCAGATCGGTGCCGCCTCCGAACCACCACTGGACCCCTGATCGTGAAATAGAATTTTGTTAAAAGAGTGCCCTTATTTTAGCCAGTATTCCACGTACGAGTTTTTTTTAATTTTTATTGCTAGATGGTTGGACGAGCTCACAGCCTACCTGGTGTTAAGTGGTTACTGGAGCCCATAGACATCCACAACGTAAATGCGCCACCCACCTTTAGATATAAGTTCTAAGGTCTCAAGTATAGTTACAACGGCTGCCCCACCCTTCAAACTGAAACGCATTACTGCTTCATGGAAGAAATAGACAGGGTGGTGGTACCCACCTGCGCGGACTCACAAGAGGTCCTACCACCAGTAAAGTTTTGCGTTTTCTGAGGATTTTACTTACACAAATGGATTGAGTAAGAGTACGAATTGGAAAGTAAACGTGAAATTTTAATTTCAACTTTAAGCCACAACCATTTCAGAGGCACTCTGACTTTGCAATTCAGAAAATAAAGTATGTGCAATATTTTTTTTTTTTTTTTATTGCTTAGTATTCTAGTTGATTTTATTATTTTCGGTGTCATCAAGTTTTGGATAAAACTGTGAACGCTATTTGGTAGCTGGGTAGAACGCTCGTTATGTGTCATTTAAACCACGATCGCTTACCATCCTTATCCTGGACCTCAAAGTATCTATAGTTGAAGTGGATGGTGGGGACCATGGGGTTCCTTGGGTGGATGACGGCACTCACACCGGCTGCAAAAAACGGGAGCTCCGCGTTTTGTAGATTCTTGCCTCTGGTAAAAAGTTAATTTATTTAAAGAATTTTCTATATTAGGTTATGTTGATAAACCGGCTATTGTATTATTAACTATTTGTATATATTATTAAGAAGCTGATAGTTGTGAGCAATTGTCAACACAATTCCTGTTATAAATTGTATTAGACAGATTAATGTACACAATCATTCAATGACTTTTTATGATGCTTTTAAATTATAGTATGATCCTGATATTTTTGCACTGTTGCAAGCATCATGATCATAGTTAGTGTAACTGTGAAAATCATTAAATAATATTAATTAAATAATTACAATGAATGTTATAACGATTTAGCTGAAATATTTCCAACCTAAAAGGCAGGATCAACAGTTCTTATTGTTCTAATCTTGTAGCAAACATTTTAAAAACTATAAGTATATACCTGCTCCGCATCTGCTGAATGGCAGCTGGAGGAAGTTTCCCGGAGACAACTGATATATTCACTCCTGCTTTCTCAAAGACTCTGCCGTCTTGTAGAACACAAGTGATTCCACCACCTCCTTCTTTACGGGTCCATCTGTCTACTGTAAACTTTGCTTCCTGTAAGATACATTGACAAACGGATTTATAACTTTCACTATTAGTGATTAATAGTTATTGCAAATCAGAGGATGACATTGAGGGGTGGAATACAATGTGTGTTTATAATGAGTGACTGCATAATGAAACATTTGCAACAACATTTATTACTTGACTACTAGCTAATATGTTTAATTTGTTTCAGATAATAACTGTCTTATGATATATATATATTCTTCTTTCTTTCCTATTACCCTCTGCTGGGGTCTAATAGTTTATATTATACCCAGGTACATAATTAATGTCAAAGGGATCACCAGATTATTACTAGACTCATTAATGAAAGGCGAGTCATAGTATTTCAGCAATATTGAGGAAAGCAGTGTGAAGCCAGTATAGCTAGGGTCATCTGGGAGGAAAGGGGAGTTCACTAATAAACAACAATTAAAACTACTGCATACCGGCCATGTCATGTAAACATCATTGTCAAAATCATAATCTTCCACAGATTTTTCATCTTCCCATGCCTACAAAAAATAATATGTCAAAGACTTTTTTTGTGAACTTTAGAGCTCTGCCACACATTGGCATGCACACAATATTATAAACGATGAAACATTTTGAAATATTTTTTTTGGATGGCAAACTCTGGCATTGAAGAAATCCAGTGCTGACTGGTTACCAGACATTATGGATACCACAAAAGTTGAGACATGAGGTAAGGGTAACTTACCCTTTAATTCTGACGACATGATTCCCCAAAAGATCCAGCAACATACATTTATTTTTATATTTAAAATTAATAACGAAGTTTACCTTGTCTTCCTCTTTCTCCAAAGCCCTGCAGAATTCTGCTTGAATCCTCATGATGAGTAATTCCATTTGTGTCTTCATATCATCTTTGTTTTGCTCTAATTGTTCAACTGGTGTGATTGGGTTTGCCATATAGTTCTTAAGTTGCATTATTTCTTTCATTTCTGCTTTACTTTGGTATTGATTGTAAGCTACAATACCTGTGCCAAGGACAGCAGCACAGTATAATCTGTGGGGATTACAGAACATAATCACAAACTTTTGCTGTTCCTTCAGATATAGACATAAAATAATGCTACATTATATACTATTGTATAGTACTGGCTTTAAGCTAGTCAGCCATTTAGAAAGTGGATATTTTTTTTGGAAATAGAGCAAAACAAGGCTTATCTGCTTCTTTCAAAAGCACATTAAAGTTTCTATAAATTCCCAGCACTTAACTGATGATTATTTTTGAAATTCATTAAACAACTAAGTTCAGCTAAAGAGTCAAGTGATAAAAGCAAAACAAAATAACATTTTTAGACCAAAAACAAAGACTTTAATTTAAACAACACATTTTGTTCATGGGCTCCCTCGATTCTGTTAATATCAATCGTATGTGCACATAATGCTTTAAGTTAAAGTAATGTAAAATATCTAATAATCTTTAATAAATCTTTTTTCAACTACAAATGTGTTATAATGATATTGAACACATTACTTTTTTGTGAATTACAGATAATATCGCTTGTATTGGGTGGCAATTAGGTGGTATAATATTATGGTAATTTGGTAATTTTGGTATGTTGTCAAGCAATTATATTTGATTTGTAATTTTTTTTGCGATATATTCTTACAGCGTATTACATTACAGTAAGTATATGTTATTTTTATTAGCCTATTTAAGGTTTATGTGCTTAATGCGGAACCAAGTGTATTGAAGTGCCTGTGATGTTTACATTTATCTGATGGTCTTTTATGGCAGCTAATATAGAAAACCTTACCTTAATGGTCGATTTTTAATCTTCTTATAAGTTCCAACATAAGTTAGCGTTTGAAAACTTCGAAAAAGTATATTGAACGTCATTTTTTCAAGGAATTAAAAGTAAAAAAATATTCCGGAATCATTAACAATCATAAAACGTAGGTTACCTATTTTTGATCTTTTGTTTTGACAGGTCAAGAACCTGGTGACAGCTGAAAGGTGGCTCACGTCAGGCGTGTTGACATAGTGAGCGCCTCCTGGTGGGCGCACGTGTTGCACTCGGTTATCAGCTGTGTATTTAAGTTNCGTCATTTTCTCAAGGAATTAAAAGTAAAAAAATATTCCGGAATCATTAACAATCATAAAACGTAGGTTACCTATTTTTGATCTTTTGTTTTGACAGGTCAAGAACCTGGTGACAGCTGAAAGGTGGCTCACGTCAGGCGTGTTGACATAGTGAGCGCCTCCTGGTGGGCGCACGTGTTGCACTCGGTTATCAGCTGTGTATTTAAGTTCCGCAAGTTCACGTATACAAAGTATACTCGCAATATTTGTTCATCTCTTTTCGCATCGAGGCCGGGCGCATCGATTACGGGCCGCTAGCTCTTTCCGGCCAGTCGAGACCGGTCTCTGAACGACGGCGTATCGTGAGTGCGCGTGTGCATCGTTGGCTCCGGTATCGATCCCTCGGCGGAGCCGCATTGCCGTACATTCCGGAGGCGGTGCCTCGCCTAGTTTTCGTCGATCGTCGGCGTGGCGGGCGCGTGTCGGCGTCGGCGACGGCCCGGGCGGCCTGCGCAGTGGAGACGACGCGTGCCATCACTCGACTATCCTTTCTTCCGCCAAAACCGGCTCGCTGTCCGCGGCGGACGGCTGTGATGTAGCCGCGGCCGGCGCGAGCGGCTCTCGGACAAAGGATCCGCGACTCGAAACTTCACGATGAAGAAGTTCACGTTTAAGGGGGTTCTGGACGGGTTCCGCAGCTCCATGCAGGCGGCTCCGCGGGGCACCGAGCAAGAGATCCAGGAGACGCTGCGTCCCGAACACTTTCAAGTTAAAAAGGTGAGTGGTATCGTTTCGGCCGGCGGTTCCGCGGATAATGCGAGATGCGGCCGCGGTTTACGGCTAGCGCTCGGGAGAGGGGCACCACGCTCCGCCTGTCCCGTATTTATAAAATCAACTCGCAACGTCGCCGCTTGCGTGCAGCCTCTGTTGTGTAAACTACAGTGACACATCGCACGCCTGCCGACTAGAGACCAAACAATGTCTTTCCGCCTTATCGGAATGCAATAATATTTACATTTTTATCAGGGAAAAGGCAACGTTTGTGGCACAGTGAACATAGTTAGATGGACATTAGCCGACAGTACTGCGACGGATCGTGGTCGCCGTGGCTTACGTCAGCGTGTGACCCTGACCATCTAATCTGTTGCCGTTATGCCACAACAAATGTAATCTGGTTATTATGCTGCCTACACGTTGCGGCGACCTTCTGTCGTTTTGCCTTGTGATTGCTCAGTTTCAAGACTGATTGTTTCAGAATTTTTAATATTATTTTTTCAAATTAATACAACCCGTGGGCGGCGGAATACTGATCATAATATTGAACTGATAACAGATTAGATAACAGCTGCACTCAATAATGCTTTTGCCACAAAACTTGTTTGTGGAAAATTGCAGGGTAATTGTTTCGTCTTCGTTATCCTTTTATGCTGCGTCGGAAAGCCTTATTTTGTTTATNTTGTTTCAGAATTTTTAATATTATTTTTTCAAATTAATACAACCCGTGGGCGGCGGAATACTGATCATAATATTGAACTGATAACAGATTAGATAACAGCTGCACTCAATAATGCTTTTGCCACAAAACTTGTTTGTGGAAAATTGCAGGGTAATTGTTTCGTCTTCGTTATCCTTTTATGCTGCGTCGGAAAGCCTTATTTTGTTTATTGTGTAGTACTCAATACCAGATTTGCTATATGTATAATTATTAAATGTTAATAAAATTCGAATTGTCGCTGTATGAAGCAAAGTGTACGATATTTCTTCATGTTACGGTCGATTGCCCTATTTAACGCGATTCAAATATATTTTTGAACATGAAATGCGAGGCAAAACTGTAATGTAATTATAAAGTAGTTTTGTTTTAATGGCGTAGTCCATAGTTCTAATTTGAATTTAGCCCATTGTTTTGGTCGGAAGTTGATAGTAGCATTGCGGGCAGCTATCTGCTCATATAAACTGACCACCTCAAGAATATATTGAAATATCAACTTAAATTGGAAAATTGAACACAATTTTTGGTAACCTAAAACACATCTACATTTTTTTTGAATAAAATACGGTAGGTACTTTGTTTTCTACTTTCCCACGTCCTTACGGATCCATCAGATCCAATCCAATCCAAACTCTTGCATTACCTTCAGCTCTAACACTAGCAGGCTGAGGAACCCCGGTAAGCGTACTCGTCGAACTCGACAAAGAGGTCGACGTGCAACCTAACCCATGTATCAGCTTGTTGAGTTTCCACCGTTGATCTTTTCAGCGGGTCGCGATTCCGATCCGGTAGTAGATTAATTCGCGAAGCAGTTGCTCTTGAGTTGTTAGGTCTCCTTTGGAGGCGCTCGGGCAGCTGTTAGCAAATCCCACCCCTTCTGGCTGAGCCTTTGCTCGCCCTCCTGTCTTGGTGAAACTGGAAAGGCCTCCGGGCCACCAGTAAATAAATATTCATCATAAAAAAAAGAAGCATTACTTTAACATACGCAAGACACGCCCACACAACTTATAAATACCTAAAATTATAATCACCGAAAGTAGTAGTCGGCTAAAAGAGTGATTATCGAAAAAGGAACATATTTAGCATTGAATGGGTACACCGTGCCGGCGGTCCATATTGTTGCAGAGGGGTATACAAAGCAGTATCCGTATTAAGGATCCACTCCCACTTAGTTTTACTCATTTCACTGTCCGCTACGCTTGTAAGCAAATTTGATTAGCTCCTCCTAATATTGTGGTATCTATACTTATATATAAATCTACAGTGGTTTTTACGGATGTTCCGTCATAACTACTGAACCGTGCATCCAATTGACTTGAAACTTGGTATCCATATAGAAAGTACATGTACTTAATGGATAGGCTAATATTTATATGAGTGTTAGATTCCCTACACTAGTTGCGGGAGCGTTAATGATGAAAATCTTTGTGGGGGTGAGAAATAATAATGATCATTTGAAATGCCCAGCGAAGCGGACGGGTACAGCTAGTCTCGTTATAAAACAGAATTAAGTATAAGGCGAAAATGAAGTAGTAATATACAAATTTCTTTTGTTTATTTCGTAATTTAACGTGTATAGTAAATACAGTACGTGCTATTATTCAAGGTTAGATGAACGTGTCAGCAGTTTGTTACGCGCATACAACAACTCACCTTGCATTTTCTATAATCGGCTTTAATTATTTGTCCTTTATATGTGATATCTTTGGCTCTCCTGATAGGAAGATTAGATCCTATTGCAGAGTCTCTCATTGAACCATTTACGAATGCTTACCGCTACAGAGTTATTGCTCTGTTATTTCATTAAAGGTGTAGACGATGGTGAGACCTTAGAACTTATATCTCAAGGTGGGTGGCGCATTGACGTTGTAGATGTCTATGGGCTCCAGTAACCACTTAACACCAGGTGGGCTGTGAGCTCGTCTACTAATCTAAGCAAAAAAAATTATTGCCTTTTTAAGCAGACGAGCATACGGCCCACCTGATGGTGAGTGGTTACCGTCGCCCATGGTCTCCAGCAATGCCAGGGGCAGAGTTATGCCGCTGCCTACCGAAAATGGAGCAATGAAACTATGAACTAATGAACAATGAAATATTTCCACAATCTATGATTACAATTACATATAACAATTAAATCAGTATATGTAGTATCATCATCATCATCATCATCATAATCGGTTGCTCTTGGCAGAGCAGTCGTGGTCATGTGGAATTCTTGCTTATTAAAGCCTTGACAGATGTTTTCCAGTTTGCGAATCGAGGCCCGGCGCACACACTCGTTAAGTGGGGTTTCAGTAAAGTCTTTCACCTGATCAGTCCAACGCATGGGGATTCGTCCTCAAGATCTCTTATCATTGACCCTACCCTGAACAAGAAGTTTCTCGATAGACTCTGCTGGCCGTCACGATACGTGTCCAAAATATCGAAGAATCCTGGATTGCACTGTTGACGATAACCTGTGAGAGATATTTAGTTCTTTTAGGATCGAGGCGTTGGTGCGATGCTCAGTCCAAGATATACGGAGCATCCTTCTCCAGCACCACATTTCTAATGCATCGATCCTTCTTTTTTCTTTTTATTGTAGTATACATGATATCAGTTCCCATATCTATATTCTATGTTTTTTACCTTGATATCCTACTAACGGAATTCAGGTTCAGGAAAATATGGTCGGAGTCATATAAATGTCAGAATCCAGTCTTAATGACAGATACTTATGTATGTATCTAAGCATTAAAAAAAATGTATGTTCTAATAATGTAGGTATTCACGCAACTGTCCCGCCTACCCCCGGCTATCAGTAACGTGTGATAACGTAGGAATTTTAAACGCTGCATAGAGACCTGAACATACCAGCCATTCTATTATATTTGAATTGGTATTTTTGTTGTCGAAAGCTTATGATTATTTTAATCAATAAATGTTTGAATTTTAAAGCGAATCCATTGATTGTGATACTGGTACTGTCATGCATCTATTACTGCCGCAAAGAAGCCATTTTTTTCCAGTTGACGAAACGGACAACCTTTGTAAAAAAAAAGATTTCTGCCCCATGTCTCAACGTTCTGATGGTTAATATTTAAAACCAGGTGGTTAGTTAGGTCTTCTGCTTTTCGAGAACAAATAAAACAACAAAGAGTACGGCGCACGTCGTCTATTTGCACGTACATACACCTTGGCCAAGAATTCTGGAGTAGCACTGTATTTCAATACTGATTAACCTTTATTTCATTTTCAATAACATGGCTGATGGTTGCGTGTCGACCGACAGCGTATTCCTCGTAGGCTTCTACAACAAAATGTGTACGAAATAAATAGTCCCTCTTAAAATAAGGACATTTATAGAAACTTCCAGTATAACAGTGGAAAGCTCTCGCAACTTTATCGTTTCAATCTTAATTTTCTAAATTAGGTGAGGAAACTAATTTACGGCGGGTCTTACTTTCTTCTGCAAAAACGTCCGCTCAAATGTAACGAGTCTTATTTGAAAACATTTTAATCCCCTCATTTCCATTTAAAACTTGATTTATATTGTTCGTAACTTGTTTTTGAGTTTGGTGTCGGGACCCAAATGTAACAAAAGAAGTTCTTATTTTATTGGAAGACTAGCGACCCGCCCTCGCTTCGCTTCGGAAACATTAAAACAAACATGAAACCAAAAAAATAAAATCCTATGTTCATCAGGGACAATGTCGGCTTCTAATGGAAAAAGAATTTTTCAAATCGGTCCAGTAGTTTCGGAGCCTATTCGAAACAAACAAACAAACAAATCTTTCCTCTTTATAATATTATTATAAGTATAAGTATAATATTAAGTATAGACAGACATAGATGCCCATTGGTGTTAATACCGCCGCCTTAGCAGGCTGAAGCCTTGATTGCATTGTAATTATAGTTTTATCTTTCAAACCAGAACCCGGCGGTAATGGGACAGCTGTACGGGCTTGCAACACGCTCTAAAATTTGCAAGCGAAATTTCTATGTCGTTTAGGATAAACTTGTGGCGTAATTTTACGAATTCGACTACCGTAAATACTATCTACGTATTGCGTTATTTTTAGGAAAAAACTGATAATGCGAGAGATATGAGGCTGATAAATGTTTCGACCAGTCGACTGCCAGTTATAGATGAAGTTTATAGCAAGGTTAATTCTCGTAATGGAGTAGTTTTTTTTTGTTTTTGGTGGTAATGATTAACGTTTTCAGCAATGCGTTTGAGTCCAAATAGGGTGGCAAATGTGAGGTGTAACTACATTCCGCGTTACGCGTGCATTATGTCCTACAG